GGTTCGTCCCTTCTTTCCCATATTGACTGAGTAAATTGTCTTGGTTGAGCAACTGGTTCAAAACGATTAGGCTGAAAGAACGTTCTCTGAGTAGGTCCAACAAATTTGGGTTGAGTTTGATCCTTTCCATCACGCGAAAAGCATACAAGAAAATGATGTCGTCCCTGGCATTTACTACAGCGACGGTGGTTCGGGCAGTCGAAAGCTCGGTGATCATCTCTTAGGCAGTTCAAGCAACGGTTCTGTTCCAATAAGCGGTCCTTTCTTGCTTGCGGATTTCCATATTTAGTACATTCGCTTGGGAAATGGCCTCCTTCTTGGCACAAAGAGCAAAAGAGCGTTTTATATTGGCTAGCCACTGGAAAAGAACGAGTAGGCTCTGACGAGTAAAATGGTCGTCCATCTCTTCGCGGCGATCTTTCTGGCTCCTTATTAGCGGTACATCTTTGCACTTCCTCTTCTACTGATATGAGCAGGTTGAGTTCTGATCTCCAATTTTCAATCTTCCAAATTTTCCCGGACATTCTTTCTTTTTCAATCAACCTGGCTAATATTCCTCGAGGTAGTTTTTCCTTCAGAGCAAATATAATCCATGAATCATCTTCGATCCCATAATCACTTAGTTGCCGACATACACGTTCAACTACATCCAGAAATTTCCTAAGTCCGATCACTGAGTCATTTGCTGGAGCGAGGTGGTACAGTTCAGATTGTAACGCTTCTTTTAACATTCTTAAGTCTCCATATCGAGATTTTAACAGTTCCACCACACGCGGGTAATTCTCGTTTGTGGGCAGGTAACCGGCTACCACGTTCAGAACTGGTCCATCCAAGAGAGAAAGCAGGTAGCTCATCTTCAACACATTGTCATAGCTTGGTTCGTTATCGATCGTGGATGAAAACATTTGCCAAAAGGTTGGCCATTCTTTTGCATCACCAGAAAAATGCGGCAACTGAAGTAGGGGAAGGTTAACTCGTGGTTGAGGCGCGTGGTATCCAGACGTCCCTGCATTATTCCTCCCTGCATTATTTATTTCCAGGCGATTTATTCTAGCATTCAAATCCTCTATCCCAGTAATATTCATCCTAGCATCCAAATTATTTGTTCTAGCATTATTTATCTCCTCATTCAAATCAACATTATGATTGCTTTCACTCAACGCAGACTGACGAGAGTTGGTTTGGGAGCGCTCCAAGCTTTTGATTGTTTCCTTCACCATATTTAGAACCTCACGAGCAAATTGATTCTGATCCAAAAAGTGCCTTTGGGAAAGTATAACCTCTTTTCCATCCTCAAATCTACCAGCTTTGTGCGGGAAACTCATGTAAACAGATTCTTCGGCCATTCTTTGCGGTGCATCCAGGCTATCTATATAGTTGCCCCATTTATCATCCAATTCAGCAATTAGCGCTATGGCAGATTCCAAATTCGCCTTTTCCACTCCTAATTTTCCAGCTGTGTCTTCGTCTATTTCTTCATTCATAATTTGAGTTGCATTCTTTGTATACGCTTGTATGGACTCCAGAACTGTGGTAAGGCCTCGTCGAATACGTCCAGACATTGTTCAATTTAGTAGAGGTTTAGCCAGAGCAATCAATTTTCCAAGAGAGCAATAAAGTCCATACGGTGACCAGGATGGTTTCCCGGCCGTTGCACCAGAAAATATATAGTAAAGCCTAGGGACCAACAAATAAGTCTCAGCCTAATAGTCTAGTTCAAACAAAACACTTCCAAACAAATTAAGTAATATTTATTTTCCAATTAATCAAATTAAATCCAATAAAAAGCGAGCCAACAATAATAAAGCCAATAAATAAGAGCCAGCCAGTGAACCAAGGAAATGGAACCAAACAGAACAGAGTAGAGCTGATTAGAAAGCTAATGTGGGTTTTGGAGGGAAGATTATATAGGCCAGGAAAATAGGCGGGTGAACAAAGTTAAAAGTAAACACATTCCAAAAGTGGGTGAAAAATAGAAATGAATGAATGGCGGCTGGTACAAAAAAGGTTAATTTAAAAATAGATGCGCTTAAAGAAACAAAAGAAAGCTAATTTAAAAAGTTAAAAATAGAAAAAATTTCTTAAACAGAAAAGAATTTCCTAGACAGCAGGTGCGGTTAAAAATAATTTAGATTTAGAAAAAAAACAAAGATTGGAATTTAAAGAAAAATAAATTTTGGAAAAAATAAACTTAAAAAATTAAATTCTGATTGTCGCCTTTCGCGACACCGCAGGCGAAAAACGTTTGAGAATATTGCAGGCCAACCGGGGGTGATATTGCAAGGCCACCCTATATTTTAAAAAAACCAAATCTTTAGGGGTGTAAAAAAGCTCCGGTTTGCCCGGAACCGATTTGTAAACCGGAGCAAGAACCGGATCCTATAAAACGCCGACCGGAACAACCGGTTAAATTCTAGCATTTTTCCTCTAAATGTCTGCCTTTCCATCCTGCATTTAACATTATTAAATTTAAGTCAATAATTTTCAATAATTAAAATTCAATATTAAATTTCATTACCCTTTACGACAACTCTCTCCCCTCTCACCACCCCCCCCCCCCCCCATCCTGCTTCATCTCCCTTCCTCCTTCACTTTCTTCCTCCTCATTTTTTTAATTTTATTTAAACGTGTAAAAGCAATAATTAATAATTAATAAATAATTTAATTAATAAATAAATAATTCTGTTAAAGCTAAATGCCATTTAGAGTTTTCGAATGTTTCTGATACACATAAAAAGGAGACAAAAGCTATTAGGATTTTATTGGGAGGGAGAGAGCTTCACATTTTTGGCCTAGATACATAGATGCAATGATTTTGTCGTTGTTTTTTGCTTTTATCAAATTCATTTATGAATTTTTCTAGTTGGATTTATCAAAAAGGCCGAGATTTTCACTGCTCAAAATTCAATAGATAGACCTTGAATATTTCACCGTTTAACTTTTTATTTTTTTAAATAAACAATGAAAAAAATCCCCTTGTTTTTCTTTATAATTCAACTTAAATTTTCGTTTGGAATGCATCATGGGCAAACCTCTGGGCAAGGAAATGATGTAATTTTTCTTAATTCTTTTAATTATTATATTCACTTGGATAAGACTATAAAAATTTAAATTTAGTTAAATCCTCCAGAGAAGCTGCAGTATTCTCTTGACAGTCAAGGAAACCCTATAATTTACCTGCTTGGAAACCCAATTCAAGTTGCAGGTAATAGACTTAATTTCAAATCACTTTCAAGCATTATGTGATTAATTTCAAGGTAATCTATCTCCTCAAGAGATAAATTTAATTCAAGAGGACTATAGATTACGTGCTAAACTTGATGAACTTAAACGACAACACGATAATTTGGATTTTTCTATGAGGCAGGGAAATGAACAAACTCAATTGGCATTTATAAAAAGACTTAGAGTGATTAAAAAAAGTTTAAATCCTTCAGAAGGCGGCGAGTTTTATTTTTTATTTTGCTTAGAATAGTACACGCCGGCGCGCGGCCATAACTGCGCAAAGCCATAACCTGCCTCAAGTTTTCCCAATCTTACCAAATTTAGTATTAAACGATTCCACTCATCGAGCTAATAAGATTGGTACCAAAATTGATAAGGGCAAGATATTTTCCAATAAGTTGTGGTTAACCATTTATTTTACATGATATCGTCTTCAATTTTGAATAAACAGTCTAAAATTAAATTGTGTAGACCATGACGGGCGACGAAATATTAATGTGATGGAACAACACCACGGGCAGCCTAATATTCACAGAATGCAACATCCAAATGTTCTTCCAGCCCAAAATTTGGTTGATCCATTACATCGTCATTTACATCGTCTATATCGTCACTATGGCTTCGGTCCTAATGTTGATCCTTCGGATTTTCCTTTATATCAACGCCCACGCTTGTACCATTTTATTGACGGGGCTGATGAAGACAATGAAGAGGGTAATTAAATTTGTTAAATTAATTTATTTAATAAAAATTAATTTATGTATCAGGGATGTCTCGGGTTACCCGAAATTCGGCCTTTTTTCGACCCGAAACCCGACCCGAGGAATTTTGAGAACCCGAGGAAATTTTGAAAACCCGACACGAAATCAGAACCGACATTTTTTCTCGAGCCGAGACATCCCTGTACATACCTATATAAAAATTATAATTAATTTATATTTTTATTAAGATAATCAGTGAGAATCAGATGAGATGTATGAGAAGCGCTGGAGATGTATGAAAAGCACTCGTTTAAAAAGATTACAAAATTCGTAGTTTAGTCAATGCCTTTTTTCGAATTTATTGCTGAAATGTTGAAAAAGGGTTCTATGAAACCTTTTTCCCGAATATTTTTATTCACTACATTTTTAGCATTTATTTGGCATAAAAGTATTTTTCGTAGCTAAATGATATATAAAACACTTGGCACTATCCGAAAGGAATGCCTTAGAATTGCAAAAGGGTTAGTGTGTCACTAACCCATTAAGTTGAAAAAAAAAACTTTTTTTTTGCCCCATTTACCCTGTCAAAAATCAAATGAAATTTTTCTTTCCCATTCGATGAATTTCAAAATTTTACTACAAAAAATTAAAAAAAAACATTTAATTAACTATATCAATTTTATAAAATTTCTAAAATATGAGTACATTATTAGTATTTTACAATCTTTATAGAAATTGTAAAATAAAGCTCAGAAAAGAATTTATAAACAACAGACTTGCATATGGGTACGGAAGATACCTATTAGGGTACCCACGGGTGTGTTTTGCCCAAAATCGGATGGAAAGGGATGGATACGGATATAATGACCCAAATCCACAGATATTGTCAGTAATCCTTGGATGACCGTTCTGAAAGAAACTTTTCGACTTTTATATTAGTTCTTAAATAAATATTATCAAATTTCTAGGTAAATACTTGGTATCCGGACCGGATTTTCCGAGTGAGGGTCAAGAGGGAGGGGATTATTGAAGGACATCACGAGGGATATCGGTGGATACAAATGGATTTATAAGACTATGATAGATATCAGTGGATTAAAGTGAATATCGAAAAATTTAGAGGAAATAAGATGGGAATTGACAACCAAGTCTGCATTTTAGAAACATGTGAAAAAAAAATTAAAATATTAAAAAAACATTTTCTATTAAATTCTAAAATTAATTAAAATATTGTTGTTGTTGATTACCGCCTTGATTAATAGAGTAAGCATCATTTATAAATGGTGCCCCATAAAGTGCAGCAACACAAGAAGTATCATATGAATACAATGATGAAGCTGTTAATTTTGGAGTTTGTTGCTCCATATTTAAACAAGCTGGATATGTCATTGTTGCGGGAAAGGCAAAGTCTGACACCGTAGAGGAAGATGCTGCTAAGTTAGTTGTAGGGTATGATGGCATATAACCTGTGCGTAAATTTTAATAAGTGTTTGAACTGTAAATTTTTGAAATTGTAAAAATTAGGTTTTGACAGATATACGTAGGTATCTATGGGTACACTCCAACTTAGTCGTCAACTTACCTTAGAAGTTACTGACCCAGGAGGTCAACTCCAAAATTTGGGCTGATGATAAATGCTTTGTGGTAATTAGGAGGGATAACGATAGATTTAGGCGGATTAAAGATGGATGTGATTAAGGGGGATTAAGTGACAGAAGAGAGTTGATATTGAATCTAATTTATCAGCCCACATATTTGGAGTAACCTCCAGGGTCAGTTGCCCAACGGGGAGTTAACTTCCAAGGTAAGTTGACCACTAAGTTGGGCTAAGTCTTCTAAAATGACCACTAAGTCTTTTAAAATTTCCTAAAAAATTATTTACCCATTCCATTTGTTAAAGCATCCATTTGCCAACAATTTTGTATGTTAGTAGTAGATTCTAAAGAAGAATTAAAAATTTGTGGTAGAGGTAAAGTTGTTGTTGTTGTTGTATTTTTTTGTTCATTTAATATTTTAGTTATTTCTTCAGTTATTTCTGATGAATTTTGTTGTTTATTTTTAATTGTTGGTTGTGGAGAGAAAGATGTCGATGTTGCCGATATGTTTCCAAAACCCAAAACATTTTCATTCTTGATCTCAACTTGTTGTGTTGGATTGTCATTATTAGTTATTTGTCCATAATGTCGCTTAAAAGAGAAAAATGTTTTTCCGGAAAAGTATTAAAACATGTTTATATTTTGTTTTCCGGAAAATAAAAATGTTTTAATTGGTTTCCGGAAAAGAAAAGAAAGTTTAGATGTTTTTCCGGAAAAGTATTAAAAACATGTTTATGTTTTGTTTTCCGGAAAATAAAAATGTTTTAAATGGGTTCCGGAAAAAAAAAGTTTAGATGTTTTTCCGAAAGGAGTATTAATCTATTATACATATATTATTTCAGGAAAATATAATTTGTTTATTGTTAGTATTTTCCGGAAACGTAATAAAGTTTAGATGTTTTTCCGGAAACAGCATTAATCTATTATCCTAATATTGTTTCCGGAAAGTATAAATTGTTTTTGTGTTAGCAATAAATAAAGTTTAGATGTTTTCCGGAAACCTAATAAAGTTTAGATGTTTTTTAAAAAGGTTTTAAATGTTTTCCGGAAAATGGAAATATTTAGAATGACAGAAAAAAGGCAAAACAATGTTTAGATGTTTTTAAAGCAATTAAATTAGACTAATCGGAAAACATTTAAAATTAATTTTTTTAAACTTACTTGAAAAAAAGGATTTCCAAATAAATTGAATTGATGATTATAAGGTGGAGGAGAATGTTGAGGAACGACTCCAAAAAATTTGGAAGCATTTAAAATCGAATTAGAATTATTAGAATTGTTAAATAATTCTAGTTTGATTTGTTGTTGTTGCTGGTTAGTTGATTGAAGTGGTGTTCTTTGAAAATATTTTTTAATAAAATATTTAAAAATAAATTTATTTACCCTCCAGATTCAGGCTCACTTCTACTTTCATTCCCCATTCCAACAAAATTATTATTCAAGCCTATACCATCTTCATGAGGCTCGAATTTACCAACATAATTCAAACTTCTATTACTAGCCCTTTTGCGTTCACCCCCATTTTTTAAAGAAATTGAATGTCCATTTAAAGTCCCATTTTGTGAAGCTGCTGCCTGTTGTGCTGCTGCAATACGAGCAGTTTTCATTGCGGCAACAGTTTGGGGTTTGTGTGGCTTTGTTTGTTTGTCTTGTTGACGTTGCTTAAATATTTATTTAATAAGTTTAGATTTTGGGAAAATTAAAATAAACTTGCCTTAGCCCTACGATTCTTGAACCAAACCTGAAAGTTATAAAAGATTAATTTTAAGAGTATTTTCCGGGAAACATCAAATATTATTATTTTCTAATATCTAAACAATATTATCTTTTCCGGAAACGTCTATTTCTAGATATAAATGTTTCCGGAATATAAAGGCATGAATAAAACATCTAATTATTTTTCCGTAAAAACATCTGATTTATTTATTTCCAAACATTTAAACATTATCTAAACACTGAACATTCTAAACATCTAAACATTATTGTATTTTCCGGAAAACATGTTAAATTATTTTGTATTTTTCCGGAAACATTTCAAAAGTAAATGTTCTTCCGGAATATAAAGGCATTAATATAACATCTAATTATTTTCCGGAAAAACACCTGATTTGTTTAATTTCCAAACATCTAAACATTACTATTAGATTTTCCGGAAAACATGTAAGTTTATTTTCCATTTTTCCGGAAACATTACTAACAATAAATGTAAATGTTTTTCCGGAATATAAAGGCATCAATAAAACATCTAATTATTTTTCCGGAAAACATCTGACTAAATTATTTCCAAACATCTAATCATTATTTTTGGTTCCATAAAAACAAAAATATTTAAGATTTTTAATATTTTACTGAATTCCCCCAAAATAATAAATAGAAATATAAACCAATTTTAATTTCTTTTTAAACTTTTCTAATTCTTTCCTAGGATATCCGTTCGCTAAAAGTATTTGATTTCAAAGGAAATTTATTATTTATTTATTTTTAATATTCTCAAATTCCTTAAGGTCAGCTAAGAGCGGAAAACAAAAATTTTTTAAAGAAAAGACCTGAATTCTAGATTCTTGTAGTTGAATCCTACTAGCTATTTGTTCTCTCAAATAAACATCAGGATATGGAGATTGGCTAAATTGGTCTTCCAAAACATCAAGTTGAGCACGAGTAAAAGTAGTCCTTTCACGCCTATTCTTTCTAGGCTGGATAGCTTAAAATAAATAAATTTTGATGGGACAATTTTTTAATTTCCTTACATCCTCCAGAAACATCAACAACATTAGAAGCATTGAAATAAGCAGCGGCAGCAGCAAAAGCAGATTGTTGTTGTTGCTGAGTTGATACACCACTGAAAGTCAAATCATCGGCGGCTTAAAATAAAAAGATTGCTTTTATTACACCAAGAATTATAGTAGATAAATTTCCGGAAAGCTTATTTAGATGTTTTAATTTTCAGGAAAACATTTTAAATGTTTTAAAGTTTGAGAAAAAATTCCAAAACTTTGAAAATTGTTTTAAAGTAATTTAAGAAGCCCTAATTTGAAATTCATATTTTTAACCAACCAAGCATTTTAAGTCAGAAAGTTAAGTCAGAAGATTTAAGTCAGAAGATTTAAGTCAGAGGAGTTAAGTCAGAAGAAAAAATTATTTAATAAAATTAAGGAAAACCTGAAAATAATTTAAAATTTTTAAGAATTATAAAATTGTTTTGCAAAAAATAAAAAGTCAAACTCTTTCCGGAAAAACTCTAAACATTGTTTTTCATTTGTCCGGGAAAACATCTAAATCTCTTTCAAATATTTTTCCGGAAAAACAATTAATTTTTAATCATTTTTAATCCTTCCGGAAAGACCTTTATTTTTCTTCGTTCTTCCGGAAAAACATTTAAATTTCCATTCGTTCCGGAAAAACATCTAAGACTTTTATTCACCAATGTTTTTCCGGAAAACTTTTAATATTTTATATTAGGAAACATCTAAAAGACTTTGTTTTCTATTATTTATATTCTTCCGGAAAACATCAAACTAAAAATGAATAAAACATATCAATGTTTGCGTCTGAAAAGAATGAAAACATTTTCGAACTAAAACTCTCTATTTAAAACACCTTTTAGTAGGAGGAGTTTTATTTTATCGTTCGAAAGTTTCCCTTGGCAAAAAGGAAGAAAAATACACAAGTTGTGTGTTTTTTCGTTATGCCTATCAATTTTTTATTTTTCTCCCCAATCTTTTTCCTTTGCCATTACAATTTTTCATCCTTGTTTTGTCCAGTTCCGCCGAAATATAAACTGTTAGTGCGCCCAGAAATTTTTTCATTTACTCAAATGCCATACACTCCACAATTCTTCTTCAGACTAATTAAAATGTGTGCCTATTCAAATTTTTTTGGTTAAACTTGAGTCATTTATATTTGTATTTTTTCTCCATTCTTTTCTCTTTCTCCTTTACAATTTTGAATTTTTGGCTGATCAAAAAGCAGTTAAAGAGAAAGGCAAATTTCTCATTTACGTTTTTAATAAGGATTTATTTTGCAAATGCCAGATCAGAAAATATTTGAATTACTATATTTATTTAAAATGTTTTGATTCTAGAAATTGTCCCCCCCCCCCCCCGATATTCAAGTATTCCAATAAAATCATGAAAAACATCCAAAAACATTTAGAAAATTATTAAAAGACAAAAACATGCGTTTATTTCAGGAAAACATTAAGAAAATGTTTATATGATGTTTTTAGTGTAATAAAACAATGTTTGATTAAAGTGTTTTCCGGAAAAATTCGAAAACACAAACATCAAAACATAAACATTTATTTGTTATTGTTTTCCGGAAAAACTTGGGAGAATGTTTATAAGATGTTTTGTGTTTTTCCAATTAAAATGTTTTCCGGAAAACCTGGGAGAATGTTTACATGATGTTTTGTGTTTTCCAATTAAAATGTTTTCCGGAAAAACTTAAACACAAACATCAAAAACACGTGTTTGTTGTCTTCGAAAAAATTGTTTTGTTGTTTTCCGGAAAAACTTAAGAAAATGTTTATATGATGTTTTTCTGAAAATAAATGTTTATTGAACAATGTTTTCCGGAAAAAGCATAGACACCTTGTAATAAATATTTATAACCCCTACTCGTTACCAACTTTCTCAAAAAAATTCCAATCGTTCCTTAAAATTTCGATATAAATTTGTTTTGCCCTTTAAATATTTTTCTTGTCTTTTCTATGATTATTTATTCATTTTCTCTCACACGGCCCATTTAGCCAAAACTCAAAATAACACTAGCAAAAACAACAACATCCCATCGTTATTGCCGGATTATCATTATTTTACTACCACAATCTATTATTTCTCTCATCAAAAAACTTTGCGATTCACACCTAATCTATATATTTACTTCTTCAAAATTCTTTTCTTTTTTCAATGTCGCGATATATCGGTGTTTTCCAAGCAGCGATCGGCAACGCGTTGCGAGCATTATTAAAAAAAAGAGGATTATGTACAACGGGAGTAAAATAACAAGAATAAATTATACAAATATTGAAAAATGAATTGATAAAACAATTCGAGAAAAAAAAGACAAATTTTGGGGGAGATAGTAGGAAAGGTAGGGGGAACAAAAATAATGTGTTAAATTAGTAAATGGTAGATCAATACATAAATGTTTAATTGATGTTTTTCCGGAAAAAATAAATAATTAAAATGTTTTACTGATATGTTCGGGACATCAACGCCAAAAACATAGATGTTTTGTTTGTCGAAAAATAAATGTTTATATGATATTTTTCCGGAAGAACATGAATAAACAAAACACATCAAGAATGTTTTGTTTTCCGGAAAATTAAGAAATGTTTATATGATGTTTTTCCGGAAAGAAATAAAAAAAAAAATTGTTTTATTAAAATGTTTGACTGATATGTTCGGAACCCAAAAACATAGATGTTTTGTTTGTCGAAAAATAAATGTTTATATGATGTTTTCCGGAAAAACATGAATAAACAAAACAAACAAAACACATCAAAAATGTTTTGTTTTCCGGAAAATTAAGAAAATGTTTAAATGATGTTTTTCCGGAAAAATGAAGAAATAACTATTGTTATGTTTTACTTATAGTCAGGAATATATGTTTTATTGTTTTCCGGAAAAATTTGAATATGTTTATATGTTGTTTTTCCGGAAATGTTAGGAACAACAATAAACAACTAAAGAATGTTTTATTATGTTTCCGGAAATTTAAGAACATGTTTAATTAATGTTTCCGGAAACATTAGAGTCTTAATTTAACAAGAAAAGGTGTTTTGATTATTTAAAGTTTCTGAGAAATGTTCCTTCCTCCCTTTTATTAATCGGATTATTAAAGAAAACAAAAGGATTTTAGAGAAGCGTTAAGAGGATAAAAATAATTTTTTAAGTACTTTTGTTTAATAATAATCCGCTTAGGCGATCAAACGGGGGGATTATTTAATTGCCTTTTTTATTTTAAAAATTAAAGGATTTTTGATTTAAAATTTTGATTATTTAGGTAGAGGGAAATTTAAAAAAATAAAAAAAATTTTCATGAAAAGACAGTGAAAAATTCAGTCTGTAAAAGACTAAACCGCGTGTAGAGGAATGAGTGAAAGTAGGCGTGGCCTATTCTTAAGCTAGCCTTATAACCAATCAGTGAATAGAAGAGAGAGAGGGAAATAAATGTGTGTCATTGTGAGCAATTCTAACGGCGATTTTACATAATTATTTAATTATTTCTGTTAGGTTATTCACGAAAAATATTTTTTTATTATTGTAGTATGCCTAATTTATTTATTTGTTTTTTGAAAAAAAATTTTTTTTTTACTTTTTTGAATTTTTTTTTGCATTTTTTCTAATTTTTAAAGACGGAATATGCGTACCTGGTTCAGTCAAAAATCGATAACTAATTTTTGATTCGACCAATTTAAATGATTTAGGTATCAATCGATAGAGAATTAAATTCTGTATAATTTAAAAATATTTTTATTAAATTTGGTTGATTAAAAGAAAAGTTAGTGGTCAAAAACTGTCTAAAATGTCTTCTAAACTTGTCTAAAAAATTAATTTTTTAGACTTGATTATTTTTTGTTATTTTTCTAATTAATTTTTTAGTGGATTTTTAGATAGCTAAATTTTATATTTTATTAAAAAAATACTGAAAATAACAACTAAAATTCGTAAATTTCTGAGTCATTTATTTAGAGACTTAATAACCAGGAAATAAAATATTTGAAGAATTTTAAACAAAAAATTTTTCTTAATAAAAATTTTTTATTCTTTTTTAATTTAACTAAAGGCTTCTTTAACTTCAATTTTGTCTTCAAAATAATTCAAAAGCTATCGGCTTCTAAATAAATTAATTTTCACAATTTTAATAATCCCTCCGTCTTTTACGCGTGGTTACTAGGCGACTGAGTCCCCCAAACACTTTGTGTGTGTAAAATATCCAACTTCCGCCCATCCCAATCCGGAAAAGGGAGAAAAGTCTTTCAATTATATTAAAATAAGTGAAGGAATTAATGGAATGAATTTGAAAAAAAAATTTTTTTGAAAAAAGAGAAGAGAGAAGAAAAAAATTTATTTGGCACAAGACTCTATTAAACAGAAAAAATGAAAAAAAATATTTATCTACGGCCAGAAAATTTTTTTCTAAATTTTTTAAATTTTTTTCTAAATTTTTTTCGCTTCTTACGAAGGTCTTATGAAGGTCTTATGACAAGCTTGTTTTAATCTAAATAAAATTTAAAATAAATAAAAAGGCTATAAAGTTGATTATGTCAAAAAGCTTTTTAATCCCTCCTCCCCTGTTAATACTGTCAGATGAACAAAAAATAAATTTAATTTTTATTAAAAATTAGAAGAATATTGGGGGCTGTTTATAGTAGTTGATATTCAACCTACGCCTTCTCGCAATAAAAAGTTTTAAAAATTTTAAAAAATTTTTGAGAGGCCTGAAGGGCTAAAAATTGATAAAAAAATATTGGAATAAAATCAACTGGGAAGGTTTGAACGAGAAAAGGATAGATGGTAAATTGACTAGAGAGGTGAAGAATACAAGAAAAAATTTTAAATCAACCCTCAAGTTTAGTTACTTGTTGGACTTCTCCACAACCCTCCACGTTGTGCGCAAACATTTGTCCATATAACTGTAGAGTTAAATTTCCTTTAGGCAGATGCCTTAATTGGAGTGTGTCTGAGCCTGAAGGGAGAATAATGAGAGAAAATTAGGAGAAAATTGGATAACAAAATTAAAAATAAATAAATTAATTTAAAGGGAATTGTGCTTCCGGCACAGCAAATAAAGGGGGAAATTTTTTAAAAAAATAAATATTTTGGAAGAATAATAATTTTATTTAAATAAAGGATTTAAAGGAGAAATTTAAAATAATATTTATCCGCCTTAGCACAGTAGCGAAATAATTATATTTTGGTGCTGAATTGGCTTTAGTTAATAGAAGACACTCAAAAGTGGGCAGTGAAACGACCATTTTTAAAATTAATTAATTTTTCAAAGTGGTAACTTTTCGTTTGGCCAAAAGATAATTTTGGGTAGTTGGAGGTTAATTGCTTTATTGTTATTTTGGGGTGTTTTTCTTTGTTTTTTTTTGTTTTTTTTGTTTTTTTTTAAGATTCTAGTTGATTCTACTTGTATTTCTGTCAAATATTCCTTAAAATGTCTTCCAGATTTGGCAAACAAAACGATACAAAATTGGATTTGGAAGGGGAAGAGCTTCATTTCAACGATAGATTGAGACATTCAAACAATGCATTAGACGAACTTTTGGCACAAGGAGAATATACTTTACAAAATTTGAAAGAACAGCATCACGAACTTAAAGGAGTTAAGAGGAAAATTTTGGACGTTGGACAATTGGTATTTATTTAATTTAGATATTCTTTAAATTAGAAAAGTTTGTTGAGGTTATTGGTGGACAAGTGGGATAGGCCTGAGTCTATGACTAGAAGGGTCGAGGGTTCGAATCCTACTGATGGAAAACTTTTTTAGCTTATTTTATGATATGTCTTTTTTAATTTCAAACACCTCAAAAATTGTTTAGAATTATTTCAGGGTTAATGTTGTCGGTGGATAAGTGGGATGAGTTTAGGTTTTAAGATCAAATAGGTTATGGGTTCGAATCCTTTAGGCTGAGGGCATTTTTAATTTGTTTTTAATGGGTTTATTTAAATGTTAACTCTTTCCAAACTTTTTTTTAAAATTATTTTAAATTTATTTTCAGACTTATTTTTATTTTTCAATTTTAGTTTGGTCTTTCAAACACAACTTTGCGAATGATAGAAAAAAGGTTAGAAGAGGATTGGCTACTTTTTTTGATTTTATGTGTTCTTTTTATAATTTTTATGTATTGCTTCTATCGGTATTGGAAAGGCTAATGAAAGAGAAGAATTTTTAAAATTAAATACATATCAAAATTTTAATTTAGAATCAGACTTTTTTTGAATTTTGTGAAGATTTCTATTTTTATGGTTAATTTTTTGTTGAGGGTATTTTTGGGTGAAAAAGAAGGATTTTTTATTTTTTTGTCTTTATGAACTGTCAGGGTCTTACTTTTTTCCTTCTTTTTATTAAATTATTCCTTACCTTCCTATTTTTCCTTTTTCCCGTTTTTGGGGGTTCCTACCAAGGATGTCACGAGAAGGGAACAAGGTTCTGGGTAGTATTTCGTGGATACCCCGTTGACATTCCTGATTTCTACACGTATCGAGTGATTTTTTTGTTTGTTTTAATAATTTTGTTATAAAATTTATTAAAAATATTTTTTGTAATTTTTTAAATGTTTGAAATTTCTATTTTATTTATTATTTGTTTTTAAAATATTTTTCTAAAAATTTTTCAAAGAATTATGGAGCTTTCACAAGTTTTGGAGAAAACTTTTTCGTCAGGTTTTGTGTCTATTGAATTTCTTTATTTTTTTAAATTTTAGATTCGAAAGATCAACAATATGCCCTCACCCTTTTGCAGCAGGCAATGACAGGAAATTTTGTTAGTTCTAATTTTTCATATGGGTTATTTGGGTCCAGTAGAATTATAGTTGAGGATTGGAATAACAAGGGAAGATCGTTTGCGTTGATTGCGAATTCATTTTTTGGTATCCGATAGAGGGCTATCAACTTTCTTTTGGGAAGTGCTATCGGTTTTCCTGTAAAATGACTTTGGGCCGGGTTAAGGTGGTCAATCAATGTCTTGTTCCTTTGTAATGATGAGTTCTTCACAATAAAGTTTTTTGTCCGTGGGATGGGGAGCTTGATATTCTAGTTCACTCAAAGAATTTTCCGACTGGATTTGACGTGTTTTCTTCAAAAAACTCAAAAATTTATTCTTTTTTGACAGGCTGAATATGTCAAACAACTTGCCTCAATCCTCGCAAATGTCGATTCCCCTCATTACATTCGACGTGCTGCTGGACTTCAATTAAAAAATGTGTTAGCTTCTAGAGAACAATCCTTTTTTGATAAAAATAAATTGAGGTTTGATGGGATTTTTAAGGAGAGATTTTCGATTTTTTTAATTTTTAGATGGTTATCTGTCCCTTTAGAAGTACGTCAATATGTGAAAGAATGTGTTTTAAAAACGCTGGGAACTGAAGTTAGGCCTTCAACTGCTGCGCAATGTGTTGCTGCTATTTCTTGTATTGAATTTCCGATAAGGGTTTATTTTTATATTTTTTTTTGAGTTTATAAAGCTGAGTTTCATGAGTTTGCAAGGATTGAAGGTGTCCACTTTTTTGTAACTTTTCCTGGCAAATTTTAGGGATGTGTCAGATTGATTTTTTAAGTAGGATTTCGATTTATATCTGTATTTTACTAAAAAAAATTTTCGATGTTATTACGAAATCTTAAAATGAAAATTTGGGGAAGTGACATTTGATCCCATCATTTGTCTTGTTGCATTTGTTCAATTTTCGATTACTTGATCAAGGGGTTGCTTGACATTTTTTATAATTTTTCCCATTTTCTGAAATCCCATCAATTTCTGGTAATTTAAAAAAAGCCTAAAATCCGCAAAACTTTGTCCGCAAACTAGATCCACAAAATTTGTTTTAATTTTTATCTAAAAAATTTTATTTAAAGCAATGGCCAGAGCTTATTGACCGTCTAAATGCTAATGTAACAACTAAAAGCGACAATCCCTTATTAAAAGAATCCTCATTGGAAGCTCTAGGCTATATCTGTCAAGATTTAACGGACAAACAAAAAGTCGCCCCAGTTTTGGCAGCAATCGTTTATGCCCTCAAAACAGAAGAAACTTCAGTTTTTGTTAGTTTGGCAGCAACTAAAGCTTTGTCTGAAATTGTTGAATGGGTGGTTACTCGAACTTTGGAAGAACATGTTGATGCTATTGTGGATGTTTTATGTGCTTATTTGTAGGTATTTTTTTTATTGATTGATTTGGGAGTTTCTCTTTCGGGGGAATATTAAAAAATTATTGTTGGCTAGCTGGTTACCCTTATCGGTTTTTGTCTCGGTTTGACTCCCCTCCATCGCTCCCCCAGTTTTGTGGGAGGTGACATTTGATCCCCTAAATATTTCTTTGATTTTTGAGTTCCTTTCTCGGTTTTTGTGAGAATATTAAAAATATTTCTGGCTAGCTGTTACTAACAGGTAGCCCTCACCGGTTTTTGTTCGGGCTTGACCCCCCTCCCTCCCCCAGTTTTGTGGAAGGTGACATTTAATCCCCTAAATGTTCTTTTTTTTGTTTATTTCTTAATTAACTATAAGCTAGCTTGTCCTTTAAAAAAATTTTTTCTTAATGACATTTGATCCCAAATGTTTCTTTTTAATATTTATTCGCTGCTTAAATTATTTAAGAAAATTTTCTTAATTCTTCAAGATTTTCAACAAGTTTTTTTCCAATTTTAGACAAACTGCTGAAATGAATTTATACGAAGAAGCAGCTAAATGTCTTTATAAAATTGCTTCAAGAAAATGTGCAAAATCTATAGAAACACCAATTGTTGTTAGTTTATTTAGAGATGCTCCAATGCAACGAATTTTGACGGCAGCTAATTTAGGTTTTTTCTTAAATTCAAAGTTTTGTGGACTAAAAAAATTTTTTTAGCAGCAGCAGATAGTTCTACAAGTTGTGAACATTATAAATATTTAAAGGTTTGTTTGTTTTTTTTTTAGATTTTTTTTGTTTAAAAAATAGAAGGGATTTCTTTTAAAATTTTTGGACTTTGGAGGACCATTATCTTGGCCAAAGCAAAAAAACGGGCAAAAACGGTTCAAAATCCTTGTTAGAAATGGCACATTTTTTATCGAATGAGCCCGGTCTCGACCGTTTTTAGGTCGGACACATCGCAGCCTTCCCTTGTCAAACGCGGAAGTTTGACTGACTGTAAGTCTGCCTAAAATCATTTTTCATCAAATGGAATTTTACTTTGCCTAGTAAGTCAGGGGTCCTCTATCGAATGATACCAAGAACAATTTAATATTTTTGTTCATTGTATTTGCAGATTTATTTTGTCCGCAAATTTTTGTCCGCAAAAAAATTTTTTAAATTTATTTTTAAAGGCTCTACTAGATCTCTTATGTGCATTGGGTATTCATTTATCAGAAGTTTGGACTTATGTAATGAAACCTCCACCTAATTTTTCACTTTATATTTCTGCTTTGTCTGCATTTTTTGTTCATCCTTCAATTGTTTGTTTTTTTATTTTTTTATTTTTTAGTTTAATACTTAATGGCTGTCCCTTAAAGCAACCTTTTATGGCTGTCCCTGTAAAATCTTTGGATACCCGGAACCCAACTAAAATTGTTATTAACGTAATAAGAATTGCTGAGAGGATCTATTCAAATTTTTTCTCTGCCACAGGCTAACATTTTCTTCCTTTTTCTCCTATTTTTAGGAACCGAATCCGGATACACGGACTTTCTTCGGTTCTAAATATCCTGAACCGCCACCCCTTCCTTGGATTAAGAAATTGTGCTCTTATGTAGCTTATTGTTAGATGTATTATTATAGGAGAGATATGTTTCTGGGTTTATTTAAAAATAGGTTTTGAGTTTAAGAATTTTTTATTAAAGTATATTCGTGCTGAAACTGCTCAAGTTATTGCAACATTTTGTTCCAACGAAAAAATCTCAACCAACGAAGACTTTTTAAAATATATTCCTCAATTGTTGAAAGTATTGCCTAGAACAATGAGCAAGGTTTTTTTTTGATTTTTAAGGGGATTTTTTGTTTAATTTTAATTAAAGACATGTTCTCCAACAATTGGACAAGAAGATTTAACATTTCAATATTCTCGAATGGATTATGAAAATAAAGAGGATTTGCAAAGGGAATATTTAAGTTTGTTGTAGATTTTATTTTATTTTGATTTTTGAAGGTGGGCTTGGGAAAACTTCAAATGAAATTTCAAAAATGTTTTAGAATTTATGTTTGGGGTTTTCTCAAGCCAACCTTCGAAAAAAACAAAACCGAACTTTGATAACTTTATATTTTAAGTAAGTAAAAGTGAAAATGGGAGAGAAACTCAAGTCGCGAACGATTCTTTTTTTTTTTGGCTCTTATTTTTTGTTGCGAGCAAGACACAGAAACTTTTATGAAGCATACCAGGGATGTCGTGTGCTACCTTAAACCCTAGCATTTTTACCTAAAGCCCAAAACCCGACTTTCTCAAACTACGACATCCTTGAAACATTGTATGTAGGTGATCGTTATAATGTCTTTAGTAATGAATTTTGGATGGTTAAGGGCTAAGGTTGTTGAATGGAATAATTTATTTTTGACTTAAATTCATAAAAAATTTTCTAGGAATACGTGAATACTGCCTTCGAATAATCCGAGAAACAATGCCAAATCATTTCGATAAATTATTTGATGTTGTAAATGATTGGGTAGTGAATAGATGTGTTGTGCAGCCTCAAGAAGGTTTTTCTTTAAAAAATTTTTTTTAATTTTAATCCTGGGAACATTAATCATGTCTATGTTAATATTACCAAAGTCAAGTTTTAAACATTTAGAATTATCTAAATTTTTTTTGTTTTTGCTGGCATGTGTTAGATAAACACATCTCCTTTTAAGAGATACCCCTACCTATTATCACGATTTTATTGCAAGGGCATATCCAGGGGGCAATGTTAGTCCTCCTGCCCCTCTCAAAAAACGGACCCCTTGATACACTCTTTCATTGTGTCCTTTTAATTTTTAAAAATGTTTTTTTTATTTTTCCAGTAACTCCAGATGAATGGGAATTAATGAAACGTTTTTTAACTGCAGTAATATCAGGTTCATATCAAAATGAATTGTTAACAACTATAGAAGTTCGAAAAAAATATTTGCAATTATTTGATGTTATTTTCAATTGTTGTTTAAATATTTTAAATAATTCGGGGACAACAGCACCAACAACTCTTCCAAATTTTATGAATGGACTTTTATCAACATTGTCTTCATTTTTCCAAATTTTTGAAAATTTTGGGGAACGAATTTTAAATGTATTGGATCTGCTAAAATTAATTTTGTTAATTAATAATGAAAATAATTTAAATGTTGAAATTACTGCAACTAAAAGGCATTGTATAGCATTGTTGTTAAAAATTGTTTCTGTTTTTCCTGAACAAGTTAAGGTTTGTTTGAAAATTTTTTTGAAGTTTTTTTTTGGTTTTTTTCTTATAGGGGGGGGGGGGGAAATATCACTATTTGTTTTTTTTTTTTTTTAAATTTTTTTGGTCTTCTCTCTCGTTTTAAGATTAAGAAGGGGCTTTCTATTAGACGACTCGATCAGTCTTAAAAAGTTGAAACACATTAAACTTCTATATAAATTTTAATTTTGAGATTTCGAGATCATGTTAAAAAACATGTTCGAATTAGCACAAAATAAAAAATTACAAAAAAATTTTTCACATTCCACAGTTGTTCCTTATAGTGTGTTTTAAATTGTTGAGAAATTAATTAAATCCTTTAAGATCCCACAAAGTCTTTACCACCAGGGCAAGGGGAATTCCCTTCTCTCTCCGAAATGGAGAAAAAGAAAGAATGCGGAGAGGATTGGGCAAAAAAGTGAATTTTTTTGGCTTACGCTTATTACGGGTTTATTATCATCATATCCACTTTTTTAGTACGCCTACGCGCCTTCTACGACAAAAATTCGGCGCAGAAAGAATTTTCCCTCTTGGCTCTCCCGAAAAAAGATGAATTATTGGCTTATCACTATCTCCAAAAAAAATTTTTTTTAATCATAAAATTAATTCTCTTTTTAATTTAACAGCCATATGCACGTAATGTATTCGATTTAGTTGGTCAAGTATCTAATAATGTTTCAATGATGCAAAGATCCAATTTAGTTCATGTTTTGGCTTCATTAAGCAATTTAGCTTCGACTGTAGAAGAAAAAACTTTATTTTTAAGAAATGCTATTTCATATGATATTAATTATATTGAACAAGAATCCTTCTCAACTTCAATGGAAAATTTTTTGAATAATACTGGATTGAGTTTTGCACCTGATTTGAAGGCTATAGCTAGTCAATCATGTCCATATTACTTGAGTAGACTTAATGTTTGTTTTTTTTTTTTTTTGGGGTTTGGGTGGGTGGGGGGATGTCTTGAATTTTTTGAGGTTAATTTTTCTATTTTTCAAGAAAAAATTTTTTTGACATTTTATCCCATTTTTTTATCTACGGGAAAAACTCCTTTTGGCGTAACTTTCTTAATTTTTGACCGATTTAAATAATTTTTTACCAATCGAAGCTCTAAGTTTGAGGATTTTTCCTCTAAAAGGATTGTTTCGATCAGACCAAAACACAAATAGTTACAACTGGCTAAGTGGCGCAATCGTGTTTTTTATTAGGCTCTTTTCTATGAATGATATGATCAGCACGGTCCTGCTAGTTAAAATAATCCCCTCATCCAATGCTTTCGATTAATATAATAATTATTTAAATCGGTTAGAAATCGAAAAAGTTCTGGCCCATAAAAAAATATTTTTCCTCCGAGGTGACATTTGATCCCATTTTAATTTTTTTTTGAATTTTGTCTAATTTCTCTTTAATTACACTCAATTTTAAGCTAAAAGCAAGTTTAACAGCATTAGAGGGAGTACTAAATCAAGTAGAAGTGCCAAATAATGAATCATCATCAGCTAATATTTTTAATTTATTTTTTACTGTGTTGCCGAAAATATTTCAATTTTGCAGGTTTTTTTTTAATTTAAACAATTTTTTTAAATTTATTTTTAAAAAAAAGATGTTTAACTTCAATTTATATGCCCGAATATTCTTCTAAAGTTCATCCAATTTATGGTTTGAGTATTTTGGAAATGGTGCCGTCTGAAAGGCAAACACTTGTTTGTATGTGGTTTTTTAATTTTTTTATTTTTTAAAATTTTTTTTTTGAATTTTTTGTGGTCTTTTTTTAAATTGAATTTTGATTTTTTATGAAAAAAAATTTTTTTGGGTTTTCCACGCTCAAAAGAATAAAAATTTTTGTGGTGACATTTTGTCCCACTTATATTTTTTACATTTTTCTGTCAAATTTTTTATTATTTTTTAAGCCTCAATAACCTTAGAACAAGATAGTAATGGAGCTGATTCTAAAAAGTTTGAAGAATTTGAAGTTGGACAATTCTCTAATGGATATGGAAATCAAGAAATTGCCATGTTTATGAGGAAATTTATTGTGGAGGTTTTTTATTTTTAAATTTAATTTTTAAACGAATCTAATTAATGTCAGTCTTTGGTGTAGTGGTTAGTGACTTGGGTTTTGTAGGTATTGGGGTCAAGGGTTCGATGCCACCCATGGTTTTTATTTATTATTTGAGAAGGAAGATTTAGAAAATTAATTTCTCAACTGAGAAAATCTGCTGGCACTTTGGTTTAGTCGGTAGTGACGTTGATTTTGTGTTTAATAGGGTCTAGGGTTCGATTCCACCCGCGGTTTTTATTTACTATTTGATGGGGAAAAATTTATAGAATTGAATTTCTTTAGCAAATAAATTTTTAACGCTTTGGTTTAGTCGGTAGCGACTTGGATTTTTTGTTTTTATTAGGGTCAAAGGTTCGATTCCACCTACGGTTTTTATTTACTATTTGATTGGGAAAATTTATGAAATTAAATTTTTTACTGAAGAAAGCCTATGACGCTTTGGTTTACTGGGTAGTGACTTCGATTTTGTGTTTTATAGGGTCTGAGGTTCGATTCCTCATAGGTGTTTTTTATTCTTATTTAATTACAAGAAATGTTTAAATTTAATTTCTTTGATTATTTAAATATTTAAAAAATTAAAAAAATTTTTTTTGCAGATCTCAGATTTAATTCAAAGCATTCTTGGTTTATTCTTCTTCAAATTTCCTTTAAATATTTACTCAATAAATAATTCTACTGAATTAATTACTGGAACATTATATGCAATAGATAATGTACCAAATTTTCGTTTGAGGTTTTGGTTACGGAGAGCATGGTTTTTTTTAATTTTATTTAATTTCTGGGGTATTTTTTGGATTTTCTAATGGTTTGGCGATTTTTAATATTTCTGGGCAAAAAATTTTTTGCGGACAAGTATTGCGGACTTTTTTTGTCCGCAAAATTTTTAAAAATATTTTTTTAATTTTTTTTTATTTAAAAGGTCCAGAATAATAACTTCTTGCCCTGAACAATATTCGAATACAATAATTCCATTGGTTACCCGTCTTTCCTTTCATTTACAAAAAAGATTGGTGGAACAATGGTTATTAATTAAACAAACACAAACAACTGATGAATATGAACCTACAGAAGAGGAATTAATTGCTGAAAGTACAATGAGCTTATTAACAAGGTTTTTTGTTTAAAATTTTATTTTATTTGATCAAAAAAATTTTTTTGCGGACATATAAACTTTTGCAGACTTTCCTTGCGGACAAAGTTTTGCGGACAAAAATCTTATTTCTAAAATTTATTATTTTTAGAGAATGTTCCTATTTTATTGTTCATTTTATTCTTGGCGAAACATTTTCACTTAAAAGTGCTAGAAGAGATATTCCTTTACCAATAACTTTAATATCTAGAAAATTAATGGAAAATGAGGTTTTTTTTAAACTAATTTTCTAAATTTATTTTTTTTATTTTTTTTAAGACTGTTCGTTTAGCTATAATTGGTTTATTAGCAAGATTAATTACATGTCCAGATTCTCAAGCTGTTGTAAAATGTATGCCTGCAGTTACAGTTATTGTACATGAAGTTTGTTTGTTTTTGATTTTGATAATTTTTGAGAGATTTTTTAGAGGAGGATAAGGGTCTTATTAAAAATTTTTTTCGATTTTTGAATTAAAAAAAGGAAGGGTTACTCAGTTTTGCCCTCATCCTTTTTTTCATATGAATTAATGGCTCCTCAATCAGTCAAACTAAATTGCCCATATAAAGCATGTTTTTCAACTCTCCTCCCCAGTTCTTTTTTACCTTTTTATCTCTAAAATACTGACCAACTAAAAACTAAAAAAAAATTACAAAAATGAATTTTATTTTTTTTTTCTTTAAAGTATTTTTCAACATTTGATGAACAAACATCAATAGAATTACTTGTTTGTAGTATTAAAAGTTTACAAATGTTTTCAAATGATGAATTAGGTTTTTTCTTTTAATTTTTAAATTTCAAAAATTTTATTTTTAAAGCAACAGGCCCATTATTAGTTTTAATTTATGATATTTATTCCTATTTACGTCCAAAATATCCTTCATTACTTGAAGTTATTAAACAGGTTTTTTCTTTAATTTTTCAATTTTTATAGCTGAGGAATTTAGAGGGTTTAGAGAAATAACAGAGAAAAAAAAGATTTTTTGGCGTCCGCAAAACAACTTGCGGACTTTTTTTTCTTGCAGACAAAATTTTGCGGACTTTTTGGGGTCACCAAACAATTGAAATTGTTGCTTTTTTTAGGAAAAATAGATTTTATGTTTCAAGTATTACTGAAGGTCCATTAACAGATATTCGACTTTACTTGGAAATAAAATGTCCATGTATTGGGGATGAAATGTCACCTCAAATTTTTTTTAATTTTTTTAAATTTTTTAAGGTCCCAACATGTTTACCAGAAAATATTTCAACATTTGATACACGTATAATGTCAATGGTACAACCTGAAGATGCCAAAAATTTTGATAAAATTAAAAAAGATTTGGTTAGAAAAGTGTTGACATCGGTAATTTTTTAAGGGAAATTTCTTTATAATTTAATTTTTTTAAAAGACAAAATCGCGACTTCACTACAGAAAAGCTTCATCTGAAACTAATGGAGGAGATGAATTAAAAGAAATGGAATGAATAGGGAGGTTTTAATTTATTTTCCTTTTTGATATTTTTAAGTTTTTCTTTTCTTAATGTTAATTGTTGAAATTTTTTGTTATTTAAATAATAATGGATTTGACTAATTTTGAACTTAAGGGTCGTTATTGGGGAAAAATTTTTCTCGATGGAAGAGCCATATAAGAGACCGGCGCGAGACGGTATTTCCCGGGATCCCGGATTTTTCGGGATTTATCCCTCCCCTCGAGATCCGACATCGGTTAAGAAAAAAATAACGACTTGGGATCCCGGAAGTTCGATTTTGCCAGTCTCTAGTATATAGAACAAAAAATTTTTAAATAGCTATTTTTGACATAAAAACATTTATTTCAAATCAAAAATAAAAAGTAAACCGAGAAAACAACAAACTCATTTTGCTTTCTTGCTTTTTGAAGGTCCAGGTGTTGGATGTTCTTTTCTTTTAGTTGCAGGCGTTTTTTCTTCTTGTTTTTTCCCTCCCTTTTTACTAACAGCAGGGGATGCTGCTGGTTGTGTAAATTCATTTATTCCCATATCTCCCATTTCTTTTTCAATTAAGGAAATTAAAATATTGCAGCGACGTTGGATTTCCTTTAAATTTAAAGAAAATTCCTTCAGAAATTTAAAAATAAAAACCATTGTTGTCCTCGAACGAATAAACCAATCAAATCGAAATTGGGGAGCACAACGTATTTTTTGCCTCAATTCATCATAAACATTTTCGTTATCAAATCCGAGTTCATACAAATGAAAGAGAAGGAATCTAAAAAAATTTAAGTAGAATTTTAATTTAAAAAATGAAAACCTATCCTCCTCTTCTGTGTAGTTTTTACATTTTGAACCACCATAATTTATTCCTAAAAAATTATTTTTTAGTTTAGAAGCTTAAACAAATTTTACTTTAACGTTAAAAAAATTATTTAAACGTTAAAAATAAATTCGCTCACAAGAGGAATCGAACCCAGCCCTTTAAATAAAAGCTGTGCCCCAAAACATAACACCCTATCCATTAGACCACAGGTTAACTAATGAGACCGCTTACTTAATTGATGTTGTGGTGCCTTGTATTTAATTATTTTAGCTTCCAAAGCTTGTTTAATAGCTTGACGCTTCTGTATTCGTTGTTCACCCTTTTCTATTTGATTGCGATATTTTTCTCCATCAGCCAATTCATTAATTCGCTTCCAAAAAACTTTTGAATATTTTACAACCTAAAAGAATGTAAAAAATTTTTTTATTTATACACTAATTATTTTTTAAATTCATTTTAAACTATTTTCATCAAAAAATCTCAATCTCAAAAAATAAAGGAATCGAATAAAAACCATATAAAAAATAAAAAATCTTATTTAATTACTTTAAGGCATCATTTAAAAATAGAAGAAGCGAGAAGATTCGAACCCACAGCTATTCTTTATTTAAACCAAACTCACTAACCACTAGGCCAAAACAAACGTCACAAAAGTTATTAATTTTTTACTTAAATATTTTTATTATTTACCTGCATCATTTAAAAAAAACAACTTCAAAAGGCCTCAAACCCCTCCCTATTTTTTAGTAAGCCAAACTCATTAACCACTAGGCCACAAATATTACTTAAACATTATTAAGAATTTTTGATTGAATAAATTTAATTCCTCCCCCTATTCTTATAGAATAATTAAAATAAAAAAAAACCTCTTCATAAGTTTTCGTTTCAACTTCTCTAGCAATACTTTCCAATTCATGCCTTCCATATTTTTCACTAGCATTAATAAATTGTCTAAATTCCCTTTTAGACCAATCAGCAAATTCATTTTGATTTAATAATTTTTCTTTTTCTGTTTCCTCTTTTTCTGTTAATTCAACAGCATTATCTATTTTTAATTGTTCTTCTTTTTGGGCTTTTTCTGCTTCTTTTCCTGTTAAATCTTCTGGTGGTAAAGGTTTCCAACCTATAAAAAATTATAAAAAAATTTTCTTTCAAGCTAGAGTTTAAGGTAATGTTTTTGGAGGGAAAAGGAGAAAAAAACTAGGCTTGTATCAATAAGCACCAGAGATTTAGCTGACATAAAAATTAAATTCCCGACCCAAAAAACGTCGGAAATTCACGATTTTCGGAAAGCAGACGGCTAGATCCTTGATAAGCACTAATCGAAAACCCATCAGTTAAATTTCAACCCGAAACTATAAATTGAGATTTCTAAAGTCTTGGCTATTTATTAAGAAGATGTATCGATTAATAATAAAAAATCCTGAAAAACCCAAGCCAAATTAACATGCGGGCTCCAGGCAGGAATGGATCGGGTCACCCGAAACCCGACCCAAGTAAACCCGACCCAAGTAAACATTTAATTAAAAAAACCTCCGTACCAATGCTTTTTCTAAAGTAATTTAATTCTTTCTCAAGAATGTCAAATAAACGTCTCGGATAAAATTGAAAATCAAAAATATTTGGAAAATTTTTAGGAATTGGTGCTTTTGCTTTTGTTTCGCCTTTTTGAGGTCCTTTCAATTGCTCTCTTTAAAAAAATAAAAAAATTAAGAATTAATTTCAAAAAAGGGAAAGCACAACACTTGCGGACAGACAACACAAAAGCACACACACACACACACACAAAACAACACAAAAGACAACACAAAAGACAATTTTCGGACGCCTAAAGTCAAAGGGACCGAAAACTATCATCAAAAAAATTTTTTAAACATGGATTTTGAAAGACATGCAGCTCAAAGGTATAGACAGCAAATGCCTATCGGTCCTCACAATTGGAAATATTTGAGAGGCAGCGCCCCAAAAAAATTTATACAAGTCATTAGTTCACCCGTTACTCCCCCAAGAAGTCGTTACTCACCCAAACAATAACAGAAAAAAATTTTTTGTTAAGGTGTGGGCCGTACATGTAAATGTCTATCCGCAAGTCTCTCCCTACCCTCAAAAAATTATTTAAAAAAATTTAAAAATTTTTCAAACAAACTTGTAATACAAATCCACTTTATAACTATTTGGTTTTCTATCTCTTTTGGGTGGTTCAATCCAATAATCGCCCACAGGTCTAGTTTGTTTAGCTTTATAATCTTCCCCTTCAAATTCATATAAACTTTTTCCTTGTTGTCCACCTCCTTCAGTATCCAAAGTAAAATTTCTTAAAGAAGATTCTCCCAATTTTTCCAATCTTTCATTTAATTCTTTTGTTTTTTCTTCCGCTTTAGACAAAATTACATCAATATCTTCATCTGTTATTGTTGAATCTTTTCCAGCAAATATTGTATTTGCTCCGTGTCTAATCATTGATAACATGTCTTCTTTCCCCAAAGCTTTTTGACTTTCGACTAAACGTCCCTTTAAATAAAATAAATTTTTTTCTAAAAATTAAAAGTAAATAAACCTGCTGGATTACAATATTGTCTAAACGCAATTTCATTTCAGCCTTTTCAATAATTCGTTCTTCAACGCTACTGGAAATTGAAAAGAAAAGATTAGAAAAAAGGATAAAAGTAAAGAAAAACAATAACAAAAAATTCTAAAGACAATGACATGAGGCTACTATCAAGCTCGATAATTCGAAAAATTCTAAATAAACAAAATCCTAATATCAAAAGAAGATGAGTGGTTCTTGCCCCAAACACATTAGTTTTTCTGTTTAAATATCATTTGAAAAAATCTCGCTTATTATTAACTTGTATGGAATTATTAAAAGATTCTGACTTTCAAGTTGCAAGTCAAAAATCAGAAAAGAAGGAATAAATAATCAAAAAATTCTTGTATTTTTTTTCCAAAATTCATACCCCTAACAAGGGAACATATGTTACTGTGAGTACGAATTTGATAAATTTTTTGGTACCATGCGAAAGAGGACCCTCGATTTACTCTTGTAGTTTGCGGGTTTTCTTGCAAAATTAGTTTGGGCCGAGTTATGGCCGTTCAAAGTTTCAGTCCTTGGGATTGATTGAGTATAAGCAAGAGGGAAAATAAGCGCGCTATAACTTTTTTTTCACTTCTCTGCGTTCTTCACATTATTTTATAAAGAGGAAAAAAGAATGCAAGAGTAGCGAGGAAAAAAGAAGGGAGAAAATGTCAGACACAATAATCAAAGAGAAGGGGCGTGGCTTGTTCTTTGAGGATGAAAAATAAGAGAGAAGAGAGAAAATGAGCGAACTATGTCCTTTTTTCACTCTCTCTTCTTTCTTTATATTGATTTACAACAATGAGAGAGAACGCAAGAGGCGCGAAGGAAAAAAAAGGGAGGAAAAATGTTAGACACTAAATAAAGAGAAGATGGGTGTGTCCGTTTTTTGAGTATGAAAAATAAGAGAGAAATTGTTTTCTTACCCTATAACTCCTGACTCTAGCGGTCTAACTTTGAACGGCCATAACTCGGCCCAAACTAATTTTGCAAGAAAACCCGCACAAAACAATAGTAAATCGAGGGTCCTCTATCGAATGGTACCAGAAAATTTATTAAATTTGTACTCACAGTAACATATGTTCCCTTGTAAGGATCAGAAAAATTGTTTAAATCAGGGCTCTCATTCGTGCTTTATTTGAAAGTATTATACTTTGAAACCGACCTCCATACTTAAGAAATTGAATTTATACTTTATTGAAAGTATATACTTTAAAATCAACATTTTGGATTGAAAATGAAATTGGGGAAGGGATTGGGCAAAAAAGTGAATTTTTTTAGCCTTGGGCCTTCGAAATTATCAAAATTTTCGCCTGCGGCGCTGAAAAAGAAAGAAATCTGGCTTCTTGGGCTCCAAATTTCAAAAAATTTTCGCCTGCGGCGCTGAAAATGGGAGAAATCTGACTACTTGGGCTCCAAATTTCAAAAAATTTTCGCCTGCGGCGCTGAAAATGGACGAAAGCTTGAGGTTAAGACTGTCAGGGCTTTATTTCTTGTATCAGCGAATTTTGACATGTCATGCGTTGAAATGCACAAAATGCCCAATGGAAGCAAGAAATTATTAGAAAAGATTCATTTAAGAGAGAAATATAAAAGATTTGAGCACGAACAAATATTTTCCAATTTAATTTTGAGTATACTTTAAATTTGGAAATTTTCTCCCTATATACTTTTTTATCAAGATTTTGATACTTTTGAGTGGCATTTTGTCGATGAGAGCCCTGGTTTAAATTAAAAAACCAACTTTTCAGTAACAAATCGGAATACATAAACTTGTTTAGTTTGTCCAATTCTGTGTGCTCTATCCATTGCTTGTAAATCAACTTGTGGATTCCAATCAGAATCATAAATAATAACAACGTCAGCAGTTGCCAAATTAATTCCGAGTCCACCAGCACGCGTTGTTAACATAAAAATAAATTTTTCACTTTTTGGGGCATTAAAAGCATCAATTGATTGTTGGCGATCTTCGTGAGGAGTATTTCCATCTAGACGGCAATATTGATAACCACGCCTTTAGAAAATTTTTTGAGAAGAGAAAAATTTTCAAAGAGACTTACCACCAACAAAAATCTTCCAAAATATCCAACATACGTGTCATTGAAGAGAAAATTAGGACACGTGAACCTAAATTAAGCAAAATTAAAATAAAAAAAAACATTTGTGAGTAGGGTTTGTTGGTTAAGAACTGATTCTTAACCCCCAAGGATTTTTTGCCAGTTCATCCGCTGGATTCCGAATATCAGAAAATTTGTTTCTGTTCGGTTACCCAAAATTTTTTACCCAAAATTTACCCAAAATCGGTTCTGGATACCCAAAAATTTTGGTAATGATTGTGTAAAGCCTTACAAATGTTCCTAACGTAAGTCTACCAGAAAAATTCTCTAGAAAAAAATTTCAAAAAAACTAGAAAGGAGATATTTTCTTCATAAAATCTAATTAATGTTCATGGGATTTGAAAAAAAAATTTTTTTTCTAAAAAATCTTTCTTAAAAATGTAGGAAAAAACTTAAAGAGCATTTTCTACTTCCACATAAAAATCCTAAACGAAACCTTGTTCTTTCAATTTAATAAGTAATTTGTCGATAAGAACCATTTTTCCACAATTATCGACCAAATGCTTGTCTGTAGTAAAAGGTGGGCCCGGCTCTGCTCCATCGAAAAGATACGGATGATTTGTACTTTAAAAACAAAATTAAAACCCCAAAAAATTAAAAAACCATTTTCTCAAATGCATCAAAATATTCATTAAACGAGCCTTTTCCACTTTTCCAGAAGAATTTAAAATATCAATGTCTTTCATTAAAATTTTTGTATACCATTCTCTTTGTAATTTAGACATTCCAACATAAACCTTCAATTCTTTTTTGGGCAATAAACTTTTTTCTACATCAGATTTTAAACGACGAAGGAGAAAAGGTTGCAAAATCTTTAAAAATAAATGTTCAAAAAAATTTTTAAACGAAAATCTCACTCTGTGAAGTCTTTTAACCAAATCTGAATTTTCTGCCAAAACGTTATCTTCTGCAAACATTGCATCAAAATCATCAGAATTTCCAAATTTTTCAGGCAAAAGAAAATTTAAAAGAGCCCAAAGTTCGTGTAAATTGTTTTGTAATGGGGTTCCAGTTATGAGTAAACGATTTTTTGATTTGAGAAGGCGAACCTGAAAATTAAAAAAATCAGTATAGGCCTTTAAAGGTGATAATAAAAAGAGCTTTCGGGAAACTTTTAGAAAGAGGACGCTAGGAAGGAGGATAAGTAAAAGGATACCTTCTAGATTCCAACTCGCTCCTATCAAACTAAAGGGGAGGCTTTGAGAAATTTTTCGGAAAACGGATCCAGGAAAGGGAGGAAGAAGGATCTAGAGTCCAACCCCCTCAGCTAATGAAAACCTTCGAGAAATTTTTTCGAAAAGTAAAGCCGGAAAGGGACGACAAAAAAAAAGTCTCGTAACGAACCAACTCCCTTCTATCCCCTCCCCAAAAATTTTTAAAATTTAATCCTTACCATTTCAGACAATTTACTCTTCTCATTCTTAATTCTATGTGCCTCATCAATAATTAAATATCGCCACATAAACTTTTTTAGAACACTTAAAGTTTTCAAAACCATTTCATAAGAAGTTATTAAAGCTTCAAAATTGTGTGGTTGAATAGTTTCTTGAATAATTTTTTGTCTGGCTTCTTGATCTCCAATTAAAGTAACTGTAGAGATTGAAGGACACCACCGTTTAAATTCATTTTCCCAATTTTGTAAAGTTGATTTTGGGACAATAATGAGGAAAGGGCCGTTTTGGTGTTTGTAATGTTTGATAAATCCGAGGACTGAAATTGTTTGAAGAGTTTTTCCAAGACCCTAGAAAAAGGTTTGAAAAAGAAGAAAAATTAAAAGAACCATTTCGTCTGCCAAAATGCCATTGATTCCGTTATGTTGTAATTGAATAAGCCTAAAATATTAGAAAAAAATAAAATTAATTTGAAAAGTTGAAAAGTTATACAGACGTTGAAAAGGAAATGAGAATTAAAAAACATGACTGATTAGTGAAAGGTATTGCCTAGAGGACTCGAACCTCAACGTAAAAAAGATGAGGCAGGAACACAACAACACTAGACTATACCTTCCACACTAACAAGGAAAAGTTGCGAGATGTCCGAACTAAAAATGGTCGAGACCGGCCTCATGATATAGAATGTGCCCGTTTTTTGTCTGGCCAAGATATGGCCTCCAAAGACCCAAAATTTGGCAGAATTTTTTCAAGATCAAAGAGAAAAATAAAATGTAGTTAATCAGGTAAAACAATACCAAGGACAACAAAAAGTTAGGGTGAATAAAAAGAAATAAGGGAAGGCATCCAAACAAAAAAATAATTTAAAAAATATACCAATTCAACCCACGAATTTGATAATCTCTCATCTCTCCATTTTTAATATATGGAGGGGTATTTTCAAAAACAAAAGTACTTCCACTAGTCAGTGCACTTTGTTGAAGTAATTGTTCATCTTCCTCCTTTTCTGTCATTCGATGTCTGTGATCCCCATCCTTGGCAGATTTTGATAATCTTTGTTTACTGGGTAACTAAACGAAAAAAATTGGTCACTAACTCGTCTAAGAACTCAAAAAAACCTGATCAGAACATATTTGTTCGTGAACTTCAGACTCGATATCATCTAGCAATTTGTTTAGTTGACTCGGATCTGGTTCCTTTTTTACGTCTTCTTTACTATCAACATCCATAGGGTAAAATTGGTCAGATTTATCGTGAGATTGGTCAGAAGATTTGTCATGTGTCGAAGAAACATCCATTTCAGAATCCATTTGTGTGTCCATTAAAAAATACTTAAACTTTAAAACTAGAAAAAAAAATTACAAAAAATAACGAGAAAAATTGACAAGAATCTAAGAATAAGAAAGCCAAACAAAAAGTAACCCAACTATATTTTGCAAAATTTTGTTCTTAATGGCATTTTGTTTTTAGGTATTTTGAAAAGACACTTCAAAGGAAGACTTTAAAATAAACGGTAAATAGAGAAAGAGAATAATTAAAGAGAAAAATGGGGAGAGAAATAAAAAAGACAGACATAAGTAACTGAATTAACAAAATATAAACAGACAAATTGCCACTAAGGCCAAAAGTTGACAAAAGGGTAAAAACAAAAAGGTAAAATTGGAACTTGCCAGGAAGGCAAAAATCCTTCAAAATGTATAACAAGCAATTTAAAAAATATCAAATTTATTCAAGATAAAAATGGAAAAGCCAGAGAAAAAATTAGTATATTATTTTTTAAATATTTTTTAAAAAAATTTTTTTACACAAAAATAAATTTAGAGAAAAAAACAAGTTTTAAAAATTAGGTAGGTGTACTATTTAAACCAAAAAAAATATTAAAAAATACCCCAAAAATACACATAAACATAACAAAAATGAATTTATTTAATAAAATTATTTTTATTTTCATTCTCTTTTTTAATTTAATATTTTTAGTAACAACAACAGGTTCGCTTCCAAGGTAAAAAATTTTTTAGATTTATTTTTCAAAAAAAATTTTTTTAATTTCTAGCCCTCCTCACTCAACAATAAATCTCTCTAAACGCGATAATCATCTTGTGCTGCTTGGCCCTGGTTCTTGTGAAAAGACTTGTAATCAGCGTTATAAAGGAAAAGAATTTACAAAATGTATGAAACAAGTCTGCGGATACCCATAATTTAAAAATAATGTCATGTCCAAAGATCACCACTAAATTATTTTAGTCGCTAGTGGTGATCTTTTGGGAGTGGTTTATTTTCGCCTTTCTTGTCTTATTAAATTTTAATTTTTTTTTTAATTTTAAAAAATTAGTTTAAAAAATTTAATAAGGAAAAAAATAAAAATAATAAAAACAAGTTTTTATTTTAAAAATTCAACACTATTTTTAAGTAAAGTTAAAATAACATTAAATACTCACAAACAAAATAAAATTTTAAAAATTTAATTAAAAAATATGGGCGTGAATCAAAAAAATAATTTAATTATATTTATTTTAATACTCACCATTTTTTCAATTTTACTCACTTTAAGGTAAGTCTCTTGTAAAAAAATTTTTTTTTATTTAAAAAAAATAAAGGTTGCCCAGAAGATCACCACTAAATTAATTTCTTCTCATAGTGGTGATCTTTTGGAATATGTTTGATTCTCCCCTTATTAAAAATTTTTTCACTAAAAATTTTCTTATAATTTCAAAACCCCTTAAAAATATTCTATTTTTTAAAGCCTAGCTGACCCAGCTAATCTAGGACCTTGTGAAAAATCTTGCCATGCACGATACAAAAGTTTTGAATATATTGAATGTGCCAAAAAAGAATGTGGATATCATTGAGGAAAAAAATTTTTTTTGGAATTTTTAAAAACCCCTCTATATAATAGACACCCATTAAAATAATTTACTCATTTTTTTTAATAAAGCATTTTTTAAAAGGAATTTAATTTTTTCACTTAAAATATTTAAATGAAATTTTTATCGTTGGTAATCTTCCTAGTTGTGCTGCTGTTAGGAATTGCTAATAATATTGGAGCTAACACAGAGTAATTTATTTTAATTTTTATTAATTAAGGATTAGGCCTTTTTCTTAATAAAAAAATTAAAAAACCAATTTTTAAATTAAATCCGCAAAAAAAAATAAATTTGCAGATTGTCCGCAAAAATTTGCGGACAATCCGCAAATTTTAAAATCAATAAAGAAATTATTTTTCAGGTTTCATCGATTTAAACGTGATCCAAAAAATCCAACAGAATGTGAAAAAGGATGCAAAACAAAATATAAACATAAAGAATATTACAATTGTATCGTTAAGGAGTGCAAATATAACCCTCATCGGAGGATGTAAAAAAGGATATTTTGAAGGGAAAAATTTTTTTTTCAAAAAAATTTTAACACTAAAAATATATTGGATATCGAATAAAAAATATTTTTTTTAAAGTCAACAATCTAAAAAATATTTGGGTGATCAGTTAACAAATTTTTTATTAAAAATTTTTTGCGGATAAAAATTGCGGACATCCGCAAAAAATGGTTTTTAATGAGAAAAATTTTAATTAAAAATCTTAAGCTAAGGAGGGAAACTAAAAATCACCGACCCAAAAGTCTTTAAAAAATCCAGGAAGAAAAAAAATAAAACAGAACCCAAAGGTATAAGAAAAAAAGAGAGAGGTCCCTCTCGATTGACTCTAAAATTTATTTTTTTGCGAAAAACTAATAATTAAATATTAAAAAAATATTTACTTTTCACCTGATAAAATCAAAAGATTTTCCCATTTTTTAATTTTAAAAACTTCCTTCCATTTCTTCCTTTCTTCATTTTTGTTCCATAGATATTTCTTCTGTTGATTGAACAATTTCACCCATTGGTGAATTAACTGCTTCTGTTGTTGATTTTTCTTCAACTTTTCCCTCAACATTTTTATTTTTTGAAATACTTGTAGGTAACATTAAACGACTTGCTTTACCAATTCTTTGGGCTGTTACTCTTGGAATAAAATTTAAAGAATGTTTAATTTTTTGTTGTTTCTCTTGTTGTTGTTGATTATTTGAAGTTGCTGGGGTTGTTGATGAAGATGGCAAATTATCTGTAGGTTGTAGTTGTTCTTTTTTCTTCTCTGGTGGATTACTCAAATAAACAGCAATTTCTTTTCCTTTAAATTTTTTTTTAATTTTCAAGATTTCCGCATATCCCTAAAAAATCCGCAAATTTTGTCCGCAAAGTATACACTATTTATTTTATCAAAAAATTTTTTTACATAGGACAACATAGGTAGGATTATTTTTAAAAACTTGCTAATGTAAACACAATCCCTTCATGATAAACACAATCCCTTTATAACGGATTTTTGGGAGTATAAAGGAAAATATAAAAACAAAAAAAACCTCTAATTTTCTCCCCATTAGCCTTTAATATAGCTGCAGATGCTTCCGAATCAGTTTCAAAGTCAATATATGCACAACCCTTTGAACGTCCATTCCATTTTGTAATTATTCGAACATCCAAAACTTTGCCAAATTGTGAAAAGAATTTCTAAAAAAATTTGAAATTAAGATAAAATAGAAAAAAATTTAGAAAAAGTTCATTGATAAGATAAAGATTAATGAATAGAATGCTTAATGGCCTAAGGAGGTCCCCAATAACAAGGAATTTAGCGATATATATCGCTAGCAGGGCTGTCCGCAATTGCGGATGTGTTTGCTGATTTTAAACTAAAATTGCGAATTGCGGCTGCAAAAAATTTTTTTCCAATTGCTGACAGCCTTGATAGCTAGTGAATAAAAAATCAGGGATACCAAAAAAGAAAAGGAAACACAATGATTAAAAGTTGTCAAAAAATTCATTTAAGCAAAAAATTTCCTACTAGAAAAAACGCAAGTTAACCGACCCCTCTTTTAAACGGACTTTAAAAAATTTCTTAAAAATTAATTAAAATTAAACTAACCTTTAATTCATCTTCTTTAACACCAAAATGTAAATGTTTAACAAATAATTTATTTTTTTCTAATCCAGTAGAATAAGGAAATGAGGAAGAATTTTGTTGTTCTTTTGAAGAGAATTTTTGTTGTTGCTTTTCTTTTCCAAATTTTTTTTCTTTTGTTCCTTTTTCATTTAATTTAGTAGAAGGTTGCTGCTGATGTTGTTGTTGTTCCATTTCAACGTCCTCCTTCCCATTATTTTTTTCTTCTTCTTTTTTCTCCATCTTTTGTTGTTGATCATTTATTCCAGGAATTATAGGGCCTATTGGAATACTTGATGTTTCAAAAGTAACTACCTTTCCTTGTCCTCCTTCAACTTGTTCCTCTTCAAGAGTGTCAATATCCATTTCTTCACCTCTTGTAACCTCATTCTTTTGCTTATTCTTTTGTTGTGGTCTTCTGAATTTTAAAAAATATTTTTTAAAAATTGTTAAAATTGTTAATAAGTCGTTTAAAATTCAAAAAAAATTTTTAAAATTAGGAAAAAAATTTTTTGCGGATAAAAACTTGCGGACTTTTTTTCCAAAAACGCCAGAATACTTTATTTTAGATAAGTGTTTTTATGCAAATTTTGGGGAAAGAAAAAATTGAATTTTTGTGACTTTTAGAAAATTTAGCCAAAGAAAATTTTTTAATTAAAAAAAATCAGAAAAATATTAAACTTGCGGACAAGTCTGTTTTGCGGACAAAAAATTTATTTTTGTTTCAGCTAAATTTTAGGAATAAAAATTTTTTCTGGGTCATAGAGGTTTAAAAAAATTATAAAAAAAATTTTTCCAAACCTTTTCTCCTCCAAATTATTTCCATTTTTCTCCTCAATTTTTTGTTTCTTATTAAATCCTTTATCCCCTCCACCTCCTCTTTTTCCTCCTTCATTCTTTCCCTGCTTTTTTCCATCAAAATTTTTTCGTTTCCTCAGATGTTTATCTTGTTCTTTTTCATTTTTCGCAAAATTAGAAGCAATTAAATTAACTCTTTCTAAAGCCAAATCCAATTCTGACCGATTTCCTTCTTCCCTTTCAAATTGTATAAATGCTGAATAAATTACATGAGGATGGAAGTTGACGTTATCCAAAGCTTTATAAAAAAGTTTTCGAGCATATTCGACATCTCCATATTTTCGTTCTAAAGAAATGGCTTCCAACCAAGCAAAGGGGCCGTTTTCACCTTTTAATAGTTCAGTCCAAATTTCTCTGGCCTATAAAAATATAAAATTGTTTAGGCTAAAGATCAGTCAAATTTAATGAAAATATTTTAGTTGAAGGATTTAATCGATCTTTGAAAAATTGAGGATTTTTAGAATAAAATTCAAAAAAAAACTCTCAAAATTTCGTGCTAATGACCAAATATTTTTTAAGCAATTAAGACCCTCTCTAAACAAAACGTAAAAAAGGATAAAAGATATTTGCGGACAAAAACTTGCGGATTAACAAAAAAAAACAAAATATCCTTTAATTTTTTTCATCTTGCCCAAAATTAGTAAAGGATTACGATTTAGGAATAGAGCTTTAATTGCACAAAAATCATAAGACAAACAGAAAAATCACTGGACCTTTAAAAAATCTAATCGAAAAAAGTCGGAAACCCCCAACAAAAAATAAATAATAAAATAAAATAAACCCTTTCAAGCTTCCCCATTTTCGCGTATAAAAAATAAGCAAAATTCTTCTGAAATTGTATAAAAGATTCGGAATATTGATCAAAATATTCATTAACAATAAGAATTCCGTCTTCAAATAATTCTTCGATATCTGAGAAATCAGAGGAACCTAAAAAAGTAAAAATGATTTTACACAAAAACAGGGTTGATGTCAACAGGTTAATTTTCGCCCGTAGAAGCTCAAATGCTCACAGTTGCCATATGAGGCGACAAAAACCCAGCTCGAGGAGCTCTTTCGAATAAGCTATTACTCAAAAAATCGAATTTTTCACCACAAAATTAAACTTACTCCCCCCTATTGTTTTTCAAATTTCAAGGACCTATATCTCGGTCCACAGGCATTTCCCTAGAGAGTGGTATCGTTCGACTCAGCCCGCCAAGACAAATCGAATGACATGTTTCAACACGGTTCGAAGCGGGCCCTCGACTAAACTCTATATCCAAGAAAAGTCCCAAGAGATGAATCCTCCTTACAACCCATGGTACACCAGTCATATCTGCCAAATTTTACCCTATAAATTAACACATAAAATTTCCTAAAAAATGCAAACAAAACCTCTTAAAAGCCCCCTAAAAATTTAAAAATTAAAAACCTTGTTTCTTTAAAAGTCTAAAAGTCAAGTAAATATATGTTGTATATAAAGAACATGTTTCCTCCCCATTTTCAATTGCTAATTTTGCTTTCTCCCATAAAGGCTCCAAATCTTTACAAGTAAATTGCCCAGTCTTTTCAGCATTTAATAATTCTGATTGAAAACGTTCAACAGTCCAAGTATCTTCTCCCATTAATTTTTTAAATAAAATTTCTAAAAAAAGTTATAGTAGAATCTTGATAAGCCAGAAACTAAAATTTTCCCGTTAGCTGTCTATCCCCTTATCACGTCAAATAAATTTTAGTTACGACCAGAAATAGGCTGGGCTGACAAATAAAAGTCGGGTCGAGTTTGGAGTCAAGCTTTCCTTGGAAATGAAATTCGAAAAAAAATCGGGTTTTGGAAGATCGGCTTATAATTAGGTCCGACTAATAGATAAGGACAAGGGAAATTTAGATTTATCAGGCGTTTTTATTATGTCTGTCAAAAAAACGAAAGAAAAATAATAAATATATTTGTATAGTATTAATACAGAAAAATTAAAAAAAAAATTTTTTGTAAAAATATTTATTAATTTAATCAAAAAATATACATAATTTTTAATTTATCCATGCTTCTTTACATATCCAACACATTTACTCGGATCCGTAGGGAAGAAATCTTGACATTTAGATAATACACGTTTAAGTCCATGAATATATCTTTAATAAAAAAATTTATTACTTTTTTATTAAAAATTTTTTTCTCATTATCTCACCACCTCTCATTTACCTTCCCGGACCCTTACCTTCTAATTTTCTCCCCAGAAAATTTACAAATTGTAAGGAACCAGGCCCGTAACCAGGGGGGTGGGGGGGGGGGAATTCCCCCCCCCCCCGAAATGAGAAAAAGGAAAAAATTTGGGGAAGGGCTGGGGCAAATTTTTGGCGCCTGCGGCGCCGAAAAAGTGAATTTTTTGGCCTACGGCCTTCAAAAATTCTCAAAATTTTCGCCTGCGGCGCTGAAAATAAAAATTTTTGGCGCCTTCGGCGCCAAAAATTTGGCGCAGAAAAAATTTTCCCCCCTTGGCCCCCCCCCCCCCGAAAAAAATCCTGGTTACGGGCCTGTAAGGAACGGAAAAATAAATTTATTCTAAAATTTTTTTGAGTTGTCAAAATCAAAGGATTAAAAAACCAAAAGATTTCACACCATTCGAAATGTTTAAGAGGGAAAAAAATAAAATTAGAAAGGTAAAGGGGAGAGATAACTTAAAAATACCAAAGAAAAAAATTTCTCAAAAATTAAAAAAATACTTTCGTTGTGTTTCATCATTCATTACATGTGCAACATTAGAAGCATAAGCTTTTGAAGATCCTGGACGTTGGTGAATACCTGAACGAGTAACACCTACAGGCCATGGAGCATTTCCAATAGCCATTTCCATATATGCATTGTTGGCTTGAATATAGTCTTTGTCTAGAACACAAAATCTGAAAAATTTTAAGGTTAACTGCTGGGGGAGCATTTTTAAATTTGTCACCTTGGCAGGTAAAGATTTAACCCTAACCTCAAGTGTAAGGTTTTGGAGACTTATCGTTCCAGGACACAATATAAGGGATGATCTGGTTTAGGAAAAATCGAGCCCTGTACTTAGGATCAGGCTTTGTTTCGGATTTCGGGTTGCAAAAAGGCAGCGCATCGGCTCTCGGATAACCGGACCTACCACTAGTTAAAAATGTTATGGTTCACAATCAGGCTTGGGGTTTACCCAAAAAAGTAAATAGGCTATTGTGAATAAACTAGATGGGTTAAGTAAAAGTAAGAGTTAACTAGGGAAGGTTTCGAGGTGTCCGACCTAAAAACGTTCGAGACCGGGCTCATTCGATAGAGAATGTGCCCTTTCTATGATTGTGAGCCGTTTTTGCCCTTTTTTTCTCTATCGAATGAGCCCGGTCTCGACCGTTTTTAGGTCGGACACCTCGCAACCTTCCCTAGTAAAAAAATTCCACAAAAATAAGCCAAAAAACCTAGTTATAGTAGTTAAATGTGCTCTAATATCAGAATTCACAGAATGCTTCTCTAACGATTTAACAAGAGGATTCATATGTTCAACTGTCTGTTTTTGCATTCCAGCTTGTACTTTCCCAGCCGGACTTCTTTTTATTTGTTCTGGTCGAGCATTCAATTCCTTTGCCCAACGCTTCATAATATAATTAATAAATGCAAAAATTAAATCACAATCTTTATTGTCATCACCTTCTCCAAGTGAGGATGCTCCTTTCTGATAAAATAAAAATTTTTAGTGGAGATTTTAATATGAAAAAAATAAATTCATAGAGAATAATTATTAAAAATAAGTTTGTTTATAAAAATAAAAACAAATAAAAAACGACTAATATTTGGAAGACTTTTAATATCCAACTTAATCACCTTTTAATACGATTAAAAATTATAAAGCCAAGAAAAGAAATCCGAGAAAAATCCTAGGAAATCCCAGCCTGCTCTCAGTTCACTTTCTAGTCCAAGTCTTCAAAGGGTCGTGGGTCCAGGGCTTGGTGCTGAATTTGGAATTCATAAAACCCAAGCCTTATAACATAAATCCGATCCAAAAATCATTAAGCTACAAATCAGCCCAAAACCACTCAATCCCCCTTCCTAGTGTTTGAATAAATTTAGAATTAAAAGAAACCTGAATTTGTTCCCAAGTAGCATCCTCTTCCGTTTCCTCAATTACAATGTTTAACTTCTCCGCTTCATTTGTATTATTCGTTCCTTTAGCAATCTTTTCCATAACCTCCTCATTCTCAACTTGCAACAAAGCCGCTTGAAAATCATTTTTCAATCCAACATTAAAGTCAGGCTTTTCCAATTCTATCCTCAACCTCTTCAAAGCCTCCTCATCCGATTCCGCAAACAAACGAATTGGCAAACCTCTAATCCTCAATTTTTTTATTACTTCACTTCGAGGCATAAAATCCGAAGTATTTGAAGACATTTTTTCATCAATTGACAATTCAACGCTTTTGCTGGTCATGGCGAGTTTTTGTTCGTCTTCCAATTGTTTTTGTTTTTCTAAATAGGCTTCCTTCTCTTTTTTGAATAAATCACAATGTTTTATCATTTTTGAGCCTTTCTAAAAAATAAAAAGAAATTGAAAAAGAGCAAGGATTCTCAAGGTAGAGGTAGGAATTTTCAAAATGCCGGCCCCTAGAAAAAACGAGCATCCTGACCTGATCAAATTTGGGTCTTGGATTCGAAATAAATTTGAATTCATACAAGGAATCAGCACACTCGTTTATCTAATAAAAGACCTAAAAAACATCGAAAAATCACTCACTTTTTGCTCATTTATTCTAATTGTAAGGACTAAAAAACCTACTAAAAACTAAAAACCCTGTTCATTTATTCCACGGACCAGTAAAACCTAAATCTACCTAGCAATGTTAAGATGACTATTTTGAACCCTATAGGCCCCATTTTCATTTCCCTCTAAATTTTTTGTGTTTTATATACTCCGGCAAACAATTCCCCCTAAGGAAGAAGTAAAAATAGGGCCCTAAAGTTCAAAACCCTCCTCTTAAATTTAAATATACCGAGGTTTCAATAGCAATGTGGTCAATTTGTTTCCGTTTTTGTGCAATAACACCTTGTAGAACATCGAAGACATCCATTGAAATGTTGTAAAATGAAGACAATAAAGTTGTGAAAATCTAAAAAAAACAAAAATCAATTTCGAAATCTACAAAAAAATTTCAAGAAAAATCCAAAAACAAAGAAAATTTTCCCTCAGTTCTCCGACTCAAGTGTCCAAAATACAGAATGCCAAAAACTTTATTTTATTTGCGCCAAAACGTTTTTTTGTTTAAAAGGATATTTTGTCTAGGGTAGGGGATCATTGTGTACCGGCCGTTTGTGTACCTGGCCATATTTTGGGCCATAACTTTTTCAATTCTTAATTGATTTAAATAAATAATATATCAATTGAAAGCCCTGGATGTGAGGATTATTTTCGCCAACAGGATTGATTTGATCAGATAATCATACAAAAAGTTACAGACAGATAAAGATCAAAATCACGATTGAGCGCATTTATCGAGATATAACTTTTTATAACATGATCTGATCAAATCAATCCTGTTGGCGAAAATAATCCTCACATCCAGGGCTTTCGATTGATATAATAATAATTGAAGTCGGTTAAGAATCAAAAAAGTTATGGCCCAAAATATGGCCAGGTACACAAACGGCCGGTACACAAGTGGGACGTTCCGTTTTGTCTAGAGGTCGGCGCGGGACGGGATCCCGACGGGATTTTCCGGGATCCCAACCCCGAAATCCCGGATTTTTTTGATTTTCGGGATCATCCGGGATCCGGGATTTTTTCGGGATTTATCCCTCGGGATCCCGTCCCGGCCTCGGTTAAGAAAAAAATCCCGACTCGGGATCCTGGAAGTGCGATTTTGCCGACCTCTAATCTTGTCACTAAATTCTCGTCAATTTAGTTTTTGGATTTTTACGTATACTTGCTCATATCGCGGATTTTTGCATTTTACTTTTTTTTAATCTATTTTTGAAGGTTTCTTCTCTCTCTTTTTCAATGGCAAGTAAATTTAAATTTTTCAATTTTGTCTAAAAAATTTTTCTAAAGTCTATTCTGTTTCAAACGAAGAGCTCTCACAATCTGAATTCAAAAAACAATTTAAATTTTACAAGAGACGTGATTGCCCCTTGGATCTTTCTGGAGTGCTTGATCCTTACAAATCTTCAAAAGAATTTTCTTTCAAATTAAATTATGTTTCTGACAAATGTTTAAATGTTGTAGAGAAGCTTTTTAAAGGAATTAATGGTTTGAGGTTTATTTTGGTACTTTTCCGTTTTGTTACACCCCCCTATATTAATGCTCAAAATGTCACATATGGGGTAATTAAAGGTGCTAAGTCGAACGGTACCCTTCTTTTTCCCAGGACATGTCTGTGGACCGAGATATAGGGCTCGAAATGGTCAAAAACCATTGGGCCATTTTGGGGTAAAAAATTCGAATGTGCAAATAATAACTCATTCGAAAGAGCTCGACGAGCTGAGTTGAATGACACCAAAATCACCGTCTTCGAACAAGTTTGGACCGAGTTACGATAAAAAAAATTGTGGGGTTCTTCAATTTTCAGGGACCTGAATTCGGTCAAATCAAATCAGATTTCGTTGATCTTGGTGTCTTTCGACTCAGCTCTATGAGCTCTTTCGAATGGGGTATTATTTGTATATTCGAATTTTTACCCCAAAAATGAACTTACTCCCCCTTATGGTTTTTGACCATTTCGAGCCCTATATCTCGGTCCACAAACATCTCCTGGGAAAAAGAAGGGTGCCGTTCGACTCAGCACCTTTTATTACTTTATATTTGACATTTTGAGCATTAATATAGGGGGGTGTAACAAAACGGAAAAGTACCTTTATTTTTAAATTATTTTTTTTAATTAAAAGTCATTTGAAATCCCCTTGAGCCCTTATTTCTGTCGTTTTTGGTTCTCCTTCCCAAAAAACCAAAAAGATGACATTTCATCCCAAATTTCACTAAATTTTCATTTTTACAAATTTTATCATATTTAATTCCCCCTTTAAAGGCCTATACAACAATGGTCTCTTACTACTTTTTTGAATCGGTAAAAATTTTAATTTTTATGGGACATTAGGTCCCCTCTTGAAAATTTTCAAAATTTTTCAATTTTTCTAGACCTGGCCTATTTATTATTGGAGGCGTTTTAACCTTAACAGAGCAACTTTGTTGGATAGAAAAATGTTTGTTAGAATACCCAGAGCCTCCAAACATTACAAATTTATTTGTTCAAAACAACAATCCTTACAGAGGATCAAATGTCTTCAAAAATTGTTCAAAAAAACTTCGATGGGTAACCTTGGGGAATGATTACAATTGGGATACAAAAGAATATTTAAATAATGCGAGGCAATCTTTACCTGATGAAATGGCTAAATTGAGTCGTTTGGTTGTTTGTAGTGAGTTGGAAAAAATTTTTTTAATTAAATACTGAATTTTTTCTTCAGGTCTAGGCTTGGGCGATTTCCTTCCCGATGCTGCTATTGTCAATTTTTACCCAGAAAAGTCTCATCTTTCGCCACATGTTGACAGGTTTTTCTGTTTTAAATTAAATCTGAGTTAAATCTGAGGAATTTCCTCCTTTCCCCTCTATTTTTAAAAATAATTGTAAATTGTGGTGTAGTGGGAAAATTTTTGGTTCACCCCAGAAAATGAGCAAGGTTCGAGCCCCTTTGTTGAAAAATGATTTTTTAATTAATACTCAATTGGTTTAAAATAAATTTAAAAAATTTTTTTTGAACTTGAAAAATTTCTTTTTAATTTTTTAACAGATCCGAACGTGATTTGTCTCGTCCCCTCGTCTCAATATCTCTTGGCCAACCAGCCATTTATCTTACTGGAGGTACTTCTCTTAATGACCCTGTCGATGCAATAATTTTGCGTTCTGGAGATATTTTAATTATGAGTGGAGAGCAACGATTAGTTTACCACGGAGTTCCCAGAATTTTGGAAGAACAACCAAAGATCTTTGGAGACGAATTTATTCAAATGGTTAAAGAAAAAGAAGTTTTGGAATATGCAAATAATTGTAGAATAAATATTACTGTTAGACAAGTTGATTAATTAAAAAAAGGTTGTTTTTAATTTTGTTTTTAATTTTTTAATAAATATTTTTGGGGAAATTGGAAATATTTTTTTAGTTATCTTTAGAAAATGGGTGTTGGTTGATTCACTAAAGTCGCAGACCTATAATACTTCTCTAACTGTACCTAGCTTTATGAAATTTTGCTTGAATATTGTTAAAGGTGGTTAGCTATATCCCTCCGATTTTTAGAATTTTTTGTTACGTATTTCGAAAATTGTGAACAAAAATGTGAAAGAAACCCCCTAAACTTGCCTATTTCCTCCATAACTTTTTTATTACCTAACCTAAAATTCTAAAATTTTTAGAATATTTAAATGACGATATTATTTATATTTTTGCAAAATTTTACGTTTATAGGTCATTTTTTGATAATTTTATGAATTTTTTTCCATACCTTCCATTTCTAAAAATATAATATGGTGTAGTGGGAAAATTCTTGATTTACCCCTAAAAACGGGCAAGGTTCGTATCCTTTTGTTGGGAAATAATATTAAATTGTTACTTAATTGGTTTAAAATTAATTAAAAAAATTTTTAACGTTAAAAAATATTTTTTTAATCCAATTTAGTGTCCATCAAAAATATTTTTCTTCTCCTAAAATTAATCACGTTGTTAATATAGTACTTTGTCTTATCATTTTTTTGTTTTCTTGACGACACAAATTTACCAAATTAATTTTCATTAATAAATAAAAGACACACCATACATTACCATGCGTTTTTTGATTAAAAAAATAATTTATCTTTCACATGTTCAATTAAAATAATATTTTTTCTCACGTTGTTCGTCTCTTAATAAGTAAAAATATTCAGCCATGTGCTTCTTTTTCTTTAAATATTTTTTGATAAAAATTTATTTTTGAAAAATATGACTGATTAGTATACACAAAAGTGTATTTTTTGATAAAGAACAAAAAATTAAGAAAAAATTTTTTTAGACCCCAAAGATTTACATCATTTTTAGATTGCATCATACAAATGAAATTTAATAAAATTAATTTAATAAATAATTAATTGAACCCTTTTTTATTTTTAAATACAGACACACACTTTTAATTTTATCTTTTTTTTTATTTTGATTTAAAAAATAGAAGAATTATTATTTTTATCTAAAAATAGAGAATAAAAAATAGACGAGCTTTTTAAACGCAACTATTCAATAAGACCTTAGCCAAGCTCAACGAAACTTAAAATGTACCTCTACACCTCTAAACTTCCTTTAAAATCAAAATTTATTTTCCGAATTATTCGAAATTTTCATTCCTTTACTCCCGTTACCCCTTTTCGTCCACAAAATTATTCTTCCTATTTGGGGAGGGGAGTACCAACAGTTGGGATTCGAAGGGAGACGATTAATGCTTGGGAGGTTTTTTAAGATTTTAAATTAATTTAAAAAATTAATTAAAGAGAAGAGTCCCATTAACACCAAATCATGTAAAAGTTTTGACAAAGAAGGGAGTTCGAGTAATTATTCAGCCATCAAATAGAAGGGCTTTTCCAATACAGGATTATATTGGGGCGGGGTAAGTTTATTTGATTAACTAAAAAGACGAGCTTTTTAAGCGCAACGGTTCAAGAAGACCTTAGCCAAGCTCAATTAATTGTTTCTGTTAAACAAGTGCCAGTTGAAGACCTAATCGCAAACAAAACATATGCGTTCTTTTCCCACACAATTAAAGCGCAACAAGACAATATGGAAATGTTGGACAGTATTTTGGCAAGAAAAATTAGATTAATTGATTTTGAGAAGATGACGGATGTTGAGGATAGACGACTTGTATATTTTGGAAAATGGGCGGGATATACGGGATTTATTGATATATTGCATGGATTGGGACTTAGACTTTTGGCTTTGGGGCATCACACACCTTTTATTCACATTGCGTAAGTTTTTCTTTGAGAAAAACAAAAGTTTGGTCAATTTTGGGGGGTCGTGGGTTCGAGTCCGGTCGGCGCCCGAATTATTTTTCCTTTATTTTTCTTCCAGAAAATTAATTTTTATTGAAATTTTATTCAGATTATATTCTATGTTTATTTTTTAAGTTCATTTTCATTTATAATTTAGCAAAAAAATAAAATGTGGGGGTCGTGGGTTCGAGTCCGGTCGGCGCCCGAATTTTTTTCTTTTATTCTATTAATTCTTTTATTTTTAGATTAGCACACAATTATAGTGACAGGTCTGAAAATATTTTTAAAAATTAATCTTCCCTTTTTAAATTCAGTCACATGGCAATTAATGCCGTTCGCGATTGTGGTTATGAAATAGCCCTGAATCGGATGCCTAGAAGCATTGGGCCCCTAATTTTTGGTTTCTCAAATTTATTCTTCTAAATTTAACTCCCTTTTTTCTTCCAGTATTTACCGGAACAGGAAATGTTTCCAAAGGCGCCCAAGAACTTTTTAGACATTTTCCCCACGAATTTGTTGATGCCAGTACTTTACCTCAAGTAGCCAAGAAAGGACGTAAATTTAAAGAAATTTTTCCTCTTAAAAAATTAATTTAAAGAATTAAACAAAGTTTATGGTTGTGTTGTTTCTCGTGCTGATCATATGATTAGGAAGGAAGGAGGAATTTATAAGCGGGAGGAATTTGAGAAGCAACCTGAACTTTATGTTTCCAAGTTTGCTAGTGAAGTGAGTTTATTAAAGCAAGCTTAATAAAATGAGAGAGAGAGAAATTGAAATACTGTAGTTTCAAAAGGGTCAGTGACGCTTTTGTTTCAAAATGGTCACTAGTGTATTTTATTTCAAAAGGGTCAGTAGTGTATTTTGTCTCAAAAGGGTCAGAAGCGTATTTTATTTCATAAGGGTCACTAGTGCATTTTATTTCAAAATGGTCAACCTTATATATTTCAAAATGGTCAAATTCAAATAATTTCAGATTGCCCCCTACGCTACAGTAATCTTGAATTGTGTCTTTTGGGGAGTAAATACACCAAGATTGCTTACTATACCAGACGCTAAAATTCTATTAACCCCCCGAGTGAATAAAAGTTTGGAAGTGCCAGGATGCCCTTCCCTTCCACATAGATTAATGGCTATTTGTGATATTTCTGCTGATCCTGGAGGTTCTATCGAATTTATGACTGAATGTACAACTATCGATAAACCTTTTACTGTTTATGATGCTGATTTGAACCAATCAACTGATAGGTGAGGGAGACCATTTCAAAATGTCAAAAATTCAAAACGTCCAAAAAAATTTAGTTTTGATGCCCCCTCTGGATGCCTGATTTGCTCCATAGATAATATGCCTGCCCAACTTCCAGTAGAAGCTAGCGAACAATTTGGCTCTCTTTTATTACCTTATGTAATGGATTTGGTTAGAAAAGAATACAAAAATTTGTTTGAAAAAAAGTTTTTAAAGCTGAATTGTTCAACAGACCAACCATTTAATTCCCTACAATGTTCTGAGGAAGTTAAACGTGCAATAATTACGACAGATGGAGAATTGACCCCAAATTATAAATATATTGAAGAGCTTAGGAATGAGCAGAGGTAGAAGGGGGGGGGGAATAAATTTGTTGAAAAATGATAAGAGTACAAAAGAAATGATAAGAGTACAAATAAAATGATTGATTACCCCCCCCCCCCCCCCCAATTACTCTCATTTACTAAAATTTGCTTGCCAGTCGGACCTCATTTTTATAGGCACTAAAATTAGTAATAAGTTGAGGGAGATGAGTAGAGGAGCGGGAGGAGCTGATAGAGGGGAGTGGGGGAGCTGTTAAGCAGTGGAGAGCTGCTAAGAGCTTCTTTATTGGGTTAAGGAGCTTTCTAAGCAATACTTTGCACCCCATTATAAGCTACAGACTTTTCAGCCCCCAGGGCCCGTAGAATAAATTCGGGGTAAGGGTTATTTAACCCCTACCCGAGGGTCAAATAACTCGCAACCCGCAGCATAAATTCCTAATCTGAGTTCAGGGTTAAACAACCCGGTAGTTTAACCCAAAACCCCGAGTAGCATTTCACATTGGTAGAATAAATTATTTACTCGGGTCAAATAACCCTCAGCTAAGGGTAAAATTGCTACACTGGTCGGGGGCAGTGTAACGGGGTAAAACGCGTCTTGATTGCTCTGTTACAAAATATATTAAGTTTTCAAAATCTTGAAAAAAATTTTATATTTAAAAAATGAAAAAATATTTATGAAAAAATTTTTTTGAAAATCCAGGTTTGGATCCGGGTCTCAAAAATCCGGATTTTGATCCGGAAAGTCCAGTCCGGATGAGAAAAAATTAAAATTCGGAAACCGGATCCGGCATTTTCAAACTTCTAACTCTAATGATTTTACTTAAAAGTTAAAGCTGTTTAATGGAAGTTCAAGTATAGAAATAATTAGAGTTACTCGCGAGTTACAGTATACTCTAGTTTGGAGTAAAAATGCGAATTTATTCTACTTAATTTATTCTACCAATTTTACTCGGAACTCAGGGTTATTTAACCCAGAGTTATTTTACCCGGTTATTCAACCGGTTATGTTACCCCGAATTTATTCTACGGGCCCAGGGTGTATCTTATAATGTAGTCTTTACTAAAAAATTTTTAAAAAGACGATCAGCCCACAAATCCCGTGCAATGACCCCTACAACTAGACGTGTATTACTTCTTGGTGCTGGAATGGTATCTGACCCTCTTGCAAAATATTTTGCCGGTTTACCCCATGTTGCCCTAACAGTGGCTGATTCGTCCAGAAATGTTCAGAGGCATTCTTCTTTGGGAGATAATATAGAAACGGTTATTGTGGATGTACATAAAGAGACGGAACGTGTTAATGAACTTGTGGCGTAAGTTTTTGAAGAAAAATAAAATTAAAAATTTTATGCCTAGTGGTTAAGGTTTTTGATTCTAACGTAAAGGGGTCGTGGGTTCGAGTCCGGTTGGGGCCGGAATTTTTATTTTCCTTCCTTTTTACCTAAAAATCAGTCTAGAAAATATTTTGTCTTCTATTTTTAATTTTTGGTGGTTTAGTGGTTAAAGCTTTCTATTCATAACACATAGGGGTCGCAGGTTCGAGTCCGGTTGGAGCCCGAATTTTTATTTTCTTTCCCATTTGTATAAAAATTAGTTAAAAAATATTTTGGATTTTTTAACATCCATTTTAATTTTTTTTCAAATTTTTTAGAAAAAACGAGCTTTGTATTTCGCTACTTCCATATACCCTACACCCTCAAATTGTCCGTATGTGTATTAAAAATCAGACAAACATGGTTACAAGTAGTTATATTACACCTGAATTACAAGCTATGAATGATGCGTAAGTTGGAATTTTTTTGAAAATTTTAAAGAAATTTTCTAGTTGTAAAACAGCAGGTATAACAGTTATGAATGAGGCTGGTTTAGACCCTGGAATTGACCACATGTTAGCAATGCAGTGTATAGATCAAGTACATGCTTATGGTGGGAAGGTGAGGGGAATATTTTAAAAAACTTGTTTTGAGAAAAGAAAAGGTTGGGAGGGGGTTGATTGAGGAATTTTTTAGGAATGGAACATTCTAAGAAAAACGAGCATTCTGGTCTAGTGGTTAAGGCTTCCAATTTTAGAGGATAGGGGTCGCGGGTTCGAGTCCGCTCGGCGCCCAAATTTTTGTTTTCTTTTCTTTTTGCATAAAAATTAATTTAAAAATGTTTTTGCTCAATCTAAATTTAGGAAAAAAAATTTTTTAAGGTCGTTTCCTTTGTGAGTTTTGCTGGGGGTCTCCCTGCTCCAGAAGCATCAGACAACGCTTTGCGGTATAAATTTTCTTGGAGTCCAAAAGGTGTTTTAATGGTAAAGGAATTTTATTTATAGAATTCTAAGAAATTATTTATAAAGGCTTTAACTAGCCCAGCACGTTATTTAATGAATGGAAATGTTGTTGAATTGGGAAGTAATGGAGAAGTTTTTGAGGACCTTCATGAAATTGATTTTATGCCTGTTAGAGAATCTTTTAATTAATTTATAAAATTATTTTTACATTTTAGGGTTTTAATTTAATTGGATATGCTAATAGAGATTCTACAAAATATGCAGAAATTTATGGGGTACAGGGAGAGTGCAAAACTCTTTTAAGAGGAACTCTTCGTTATAAGGTAAAGAAATTGGGAGGTTATTTTACATCAGGAAAGGAATGAGAATTCCTTTAGAGATGTTATAGAATGCCCTCTCATTTTTATCATACCTGCTAAGGCTTTCCAACCCAAGACCCTTTCCTTTCAAGGGGACATGGGTTCGAGTCCGGTCGGGGCCCGGATTTTTTATTTTCTTTCCTATTTGAATTTTTTAGGGTTTTGTGGAAGCGGTTATAGCCTTAAAACAACTTGGCTATTTATCAACAGAAAAGAAAGATTTTCTTGATCCAACAGAAGGTCCAGACTTGACGTGGAAACAAATAACAGCTTCCCTATTAAACCAACAAACTGACATCTTCCCCGATTCTTTAAAAAATATTGCTTTGGATTGTTTGGGTGGTGAGGGGAAAATACGCGAATTAAATGGATTAGACCAAATTGGACTTGTATGTTGAAAAAAGGGGGATAGTTTTTGAGAAATGGACCTATTAGGAAAAATTGAGAGATGTAGCCTAGTGGTTAAGGCTTCCCAATCATAACGTTTAGGGGTCGTGGGTTCGAGTCCACTTGGTGCCCAAATTTTTATTTTCTTACAGAAAAAAATTTTAAATCATGACTTGAAATTTTAGGTCTTTTGAGTGAAAACGCTTGAAATTTTAGGTTTTAGGAACTTTAGGACTTGAAATTTTGGATTTTTTGGGGGACGAAAACCCTCGCTTAAGAAAACCCTCCCTTAAGAAAAAAAGAAAAAAATTTTGTACGACCAACCCTCAAAAATTAAAATTTTAGTTTTCCGATGCAATGCCGGAACGTCACTTGACTCCTCTAGACACTCTTGTTCGTTACTTTAAAATTGAAAAAAAATTTTTAAATAAAAATTTAAGGTCCCTCATTTAGCTAAAGCTCTTGCTTACATTCCTGGTGATCTTATTGTTTAAAAAATAAAAAAATAAATTTTTAGGTGAGAAAGATTTGGTCATTTTAAATCATGACATTGTTGCCCAACTTCCATCTGGAGCATTGGTTTGAAATTGAGGATTATTAAAAAGGGACTTTAGAGTCTTCATAATTATTTTAGTGGGTCTTGGTCAAATAGGACTCTAATAGATTAATTCCTAATTGGCCTGAGACTAACTGTCAGTAACTTAATAGGTTGATAGACTCTAGAATTTGGCTATAAAAGGAAGGGGTGCCATAATCACTGGACGACTATGCTTAGTAATGATTAGAATTTAGAGTATAGGACGCTAGAGTACCTATTGCCTCAAATACCTATAACCAAAATTTTTAGGAATATCACCGTATAAATCTGGTTGCCTACGGTGAACAGCCCAAAAATGGCTATTCAGCTATGGCAAGTACTGTGGGTTACACAGCTGCTATTGTTAGCAATATGATTTTGAATGGTAAAGAAAATTAATTTTTTAAAGAGAATCTGTCTTATTTAAAGGTGAAATACAAGAAACTGGAATGTTGAGACCAACATCCAAAACAGTTTATAGGCCAGTCCTCCAAAGATTGAAGGATTTTGGAATTAAAGCAAATTCTATTGTGAAACAACAAAATTTTTAAAATTATTTTCTATACATATAAATATATTTTTCAAAATTTCTAAAATTTGTCTCAATTATTTTTTAGTAATCCTATATAAATATTTATTTTTCTTTTCCATCAAATCTCCTTTGTATTTTTTTATAAAATTTTAAAAGGCTATAGAATAAGCAAAAATTTGACTCATTCAATATGATGATTCAGTCAAAGTTATTTTTCGTCAAAATACCATAGGTTTGGTTTTACAAAAGAAATTTCTTTAGATTAGTTGTATAAAAATATTTATAAAAAAGCCCTCATTTATATAGAAAGCTTAAGGAAGTTAATGCTTCCATGCTTCAATGCTTCTGTCCGCCCCATTTGTTCGCCTCAAGAATAACAAAAACATGGGACAATTATTTTTTCCTTTGGAATTGGGAGGACCAACCGGTAGTCGATTGACCGGCGTGGATAAGGGAGATTCGGGGGGACCATTGTATGTCTATGGGAAGGGAAGAGCCTTCTTGATAGGAGTCGCATCGGCCAGCAGTGTTAGCCCTCTGAAGAAAGAATGTTTGGTCCGTGCTTCCAATATTTATAGAAATCATAAAGATAAAATAGGTGAAAATGAAGAAATATTTGAAGAGGATTATGAAGAAGGAATATAATTTAAAAAAAATTTTCTTTATAATTTAAAAAAAATTTTCACTAAAAAAATTTTTTTAGCGAAATCGAGACGTCAACTGTTCCAGAAAAGAAAGGATTTTGGGAAAGAGTAAATTATGAATTTTTGATGGAAAATGAAGTTAGAAAGAAAACATGAATTGTTGGAATGTCAATTTTAAAGTTTGAAAAAAATTTTTTATTAACCACATTCATGGTTATTTTTTATAAATAAAATTTTAGAAGCATTTTGTTTCAATAAATAAATTTTAAAAATTTTTTTGTACTTAAAAATAATCTCTTTTCTACAAAAATTAATAAAAAAATTCTCACATCATTTTTGCCGTCCAGTCATTTCATCAAGTGTTAGTTCCAGTACATGTCGAATAGGTTCTATTGGGTAGGACATTATATCTTCATGGAGTTCGGATACTATTTGCTTCTAAAAATTATTTTTTTCAGATAAAGAAATTTTCTTAGGGTGTTAAGTCCTTAAATTAAGTGATTGGGATAGTTGGGGTTTTGGACGTTTTGAACTTTTGTCTTTTTGGTAATTTGACATTTTTAAAATTTTTAAGCTCATGGGTTTGACTTTATAGTAAATAAAAATTCAGAAAATTTTCCTTTACCTGAAATTTCAGACAATCCTCTTCAATCCCCTGTTCAACAATAATATTTCTTGCAATAATTAATTTGTTTTCATCTTTAGTCGAAAAATTCTTTTTAAAATTGTCCAATTCAACAGATTTATTACTTTTTTCCAATTTTTCAATTAGAGCACATGTTACCTTTAAAAAATTTTTTTAAATAAAAGAATGATAAAAATTAGTTACTCGGAGTTGGGACTCGGACTCCAGAAAAATCCGACCGGATACGGTCCGGCCCCGGTCACTAGTGAAAATTTAGAAAAAATTTTAGAGGTGAGACCCAAATGTCGCTTTTAAAAAAAAGCGAAATTTTCTCAATCTGAAATTTCAGGTTGAGAAAAATACTTGATGGGGTGTTGTTCATTAGAGTCTGAGACTTTTTAAACTTTCAAAAAAATTTTCAGAAACAAACCCAAGTACATTTTCCTTCTGCCAAATCGACCAAATTTGATTTCCCAGTAATTGAAGGATCTCCAAAACAATCAAGATAATCGTCTTGTGCTTGAAATAAATAACCCAAATCATATGCTATTTGTCTCAATTGTACTTGATGGGGTGTTGTATAATCTGCCAAATGCATTCCAATATTTAATGGGAGCAAGTAGGAATAATGACTGAAAATTTAGAAAAAATTCAATTAAAGGCGAGACTCAAATGACAGCTTTTGGAAAAAGGTACATTAGAGTCCGGGAAAATTTTGTGTCAAAATTGAGATTGAAAATTAAAGGTCGGCATGGGACAGGATGCCTTACGATATTTTACGAGATCCTGTCCCAAAATCCCGTATTTTAAGCGACGAACGGGATTTACGGGATTAATCCCGCGGGATCCTGTCCAGTAAAAATTTTGAAAAAATCCCGTTACGAGATTAGTCAGGAATTTATGACCTTTAGAGTCAGGAAACCCTTAGAGTCGTGAATTTATGAAATTTAAAAAATTTAAATTTAAAAAAAGACCAATGTCCAGTTGACCTTCTTTTTACCTAGTTTTGTGTTTTACAATTGAAGAGTATCTCGACCAAGTGAATTGTGACAAATCTGTTGTTGTCATATCCAGCATTTGACCAATAACTGTCTTTTGTTTTGCCTTAATTTATGTAAATTTTTAAAAAATTTTATAGAAGGATAGTTGAGCCTCAACGATAATCTCTTTCCTTAGTTTCAAGTCTCCCAAAAGGAGAGGTTCATAATAAAAGAACACTAGAGTCTCACCACAAGAGTCCAGAGCTAATATCATGATACTAACAACTGGGACTCAAATATTCTCAAATCAGGAAAGTGAGACTTGAAGTGAAAAATTACTAGCCCAGACTCAACTAGCCTTCCTAATAGGGTTGCCGGCCGGTCCGGTTCGAAAGATCGAGTTGGGCATCGAATTTTGGCCCGAAAAAGACTTGGTCGGCCCGACTCGATAAAAACAAACCCGAAAAAATGCCACGACCGTCGGCTCGACTCGTAAACGGCAACCCTACTTCTTATGAAAAATCAACTCACTGTAGCAATTTCCCTCAATATTGCATTTTTTCTGGGATGACTAGGAATTTCTTTTTGAATAATTTTATTAATACCACAATCAAGTAATAAACCATCATTTATTGCTGCTAATCCAATATCTGGCTTAAGAAAAAAAATTTTTTTATAAATTAAAAAAAAATTTAAAAAAACCAAAGAATGCCAACTTGGCCTTCCACGCCTCAAAGTACTTGAATCCATTATATCATCTTCAATTAAATAAAATGTTTGTAGCAATTCTATTGTTAATGCAACCTTTCCTGCTGTAATTAATTCTTCTTCAGTTATTGACTTTGGGGAGAGAGCCTGGGGAAAATTTTTTAATTAGGATTTTTAGGGGTTTTAAAAATTTTTTTTATTGTTTTCGAGTCTATACAAGATTAGACAATCCATACGAGTCTGTTAAAAACGGAAAAAGACTGCCTGATTCTGGAGGAACCAGATGAGTCTGGGAGGTACCACTAAGGTATGAGAAATGGAAATGGGCGTCCTATCAGAGTCTGAATGTTTAAATACTCGAATCAAGGAAGAATAACATGTAAACGGGAACCTTTTACAATATTGTGAAAAATGTCCTTCCTTTCCATTATCTTAAATAGGCATTACCGGTTTAAGGCAGTTCTCTCCCTTAAAACGAATGGTCAACCAAATTAAAAAAATTTTAAATGGGTACACTCTGTCCCAAAATTATACATCCACCTATATTTTTGGCATAAGTCCGTAATTTGTTAACGGATTTGAATGAAAATTTAACAGATAATGCAGAAAGACATTTTGAACCCCTTATGGTTGTTTTTAAATTCTCATTTTAGGCTCATTCGAAAGCCCTTAAAATTTACTAAAAATAAATTTGATCTAGTATTTGAGAAAAAATTTGATAGACAGATGTAGGTCGTTAATTTCCCGACGCTAATTTTATGGGGCATTTAGGCGCTTTTTTCTGCATAAAAAGTTTAAATGCCTGCTTCTCTCGATAAAAATTTTTCTGGAAAATAAGCTTGTTGCTATTTTGTAGCAAATTTCAAGGGCTTTCGAATGAGCCCAAAATCAAAATTTACAGTAATCCATAAGGGGTCAAAAATATTTTTTGATTTTGAAAACCCCTGTTTTACGTTGATTTTCGAGGTCTCAGGATCTCGGCTTCGGGTTAAGATATTGACCTACTTTCTTTTTACTTTTTTATAATATCAATGTATAAGTTTACTGGAATTTTTGTAGAATTTTCCTATAATCGGAAATAACTTTTTTGGAAGGTGGATGTATATTTATGGGACACCTATTTTACAAATAAATAGTTGTAAATATTGAGTGCATAATTAGAATTTTTTCAAATTTTATATATACTTTCAAAATGTCTTTCTGCATTATCTGTTAAATTTTCATTCAAATCCGTTAACAAATTACGGACTTATGCCAAAAATATAGGTGGATGTATAATTTTGGGACAGAGTGTATATGGGGGTATCTAAAAATGATTTTTGACGCTTAACAGAGTAAACCCAAAAGTACCGGACCCAACAAAAAATTAAAAAAAATTTTTTAAATTAAAAAACCGTAAAATTCTGCATAGCCAAATTACTCCTCGCAAATTTCCCACCAGCCACATTATAATCAAAAATTCTACAAATTCTTTGTTGGCTCAATAAAGCAGAAGATTCATCCAAATCTGTAGTTAAATATTTTGATAATTCATCTCTAAGTATTGGCAAAAGAGAATTTAAAAATTTTCCATTTTTGAACACCAAATTATTTTTTGATACTAACATTGTTGAAACTACTTTTGCTGCTTTATTCATTTAAATAAATATAGAAAAAAATATTTATTTTTTAAATAAATTTAAAAAAATAGGAGAAATGTGTTGGTGAATAAAAACCATATAAAAATAATTATTAAAAAAAATAAAAAGATAATATTTATCAAAAAAAAAATATTTATTTTACAAAATTACAAGAAAAAAATTTTTTAAAGTAAATTATTATTGAAATATGTATAATGATGTGTGTGTATGTTAGTGTTGCGCCGGAACCGCAAATTTGGCCGGAGTCGGAACTGAAATTTTAACCAAATCCGGAACTGGAAGGACGGAACAGAAACCAAAAAATCCCGGAACTTCCGGCCTACCAGAACCAGAATTTCCGGCGCGATCCATGGTATGTGTTACATATTAAATAACAACAAAAAAATGTGGTCCAAATTGTTTTATATTTTTTCTTTATAAAA